CCAGAGGCCCACATGCTGATTCCAGGGTGCTTACCTGGCCGCGGCTCCTTCGCCTCCCGCGGCCTGCACTGAGCTGTGGGGAGGCACCCCTCCGCCTCCTCGACCTCCATGGTGAGACAAGGCACCGGGCCCTAGGGGGAGGGCACCAAGGGCCGGGGATGTATGGAGATGTTTGGGGACAGATAGGGACAGACTGGGGTTCATGGGACCGACAGGGGTGGACAGGGACAGGTGGGGACGGACAGGGACCCACTGCAGGAACCAAGGACGGGACATGGGAACCAAGGGCCCCCAACCAATATCAAGTCACAGATTGGCAGAATGGTGGCGGGAGGGCGGTCCCTGAAACAGGCGGTGCGAGGAAAGGGCTTCCAGGGATTGCACGTACAGGAAAGGCTGGGCCCAGCTGCCGTCTGTCAGGGGGACTCTCGTGCTGCAGGCCTGGCAGACGGACCCGAGGCTGCTCCCCAGGCTCTGAAAGACACAGTCCTGGGAATCACCAGCAGTGACCACAGACTGAGGCCAGGAACGGGCTGACTGTGAGGGGAGTGGGGAGAGTGCCACCACATGCTGCCCTGTTCCAGGCAGGGTGGACGGCAAACAAGCTAACCTTGAGGGAGACGGTGATGGCCTGGGGCCACATCCAGCCCTCTGCCCTGCCCTGTTCCCTGCCTGGAGGCCCAAGGGGCTACTCAGCCCCAGGCCTGGAAAAGGCGGCCTCTGAGACCCTCAAATCTTCCTTTTGCCCTGGGCAGAGGCTCTCTGCCAGCCTATGTTTCTGGGAACTGCCTGACAACAGTCTGAGGCCTGCATGTGGCCCGGGGGCTCCCCATTGGGAGCCCTTCTCTGAGCTGTCTGGGTGGTCTCTGGCCTGAGCACTCACTGCCCTGTGTCTTGGGAATGCTGGCTGCCTGTGCACCAGGGTGGCCCAGTGTGTGCTCTACTGCACTGGGACGCAGAGACAGGGAGGCCAGGGGAGGCCCAGTTACACTCGGGGTGCAGCAGGCCAGAAAACAGGCCTGCCTGACCCTGAGCCTGATGCCACCCACATCACCCAGGGCCCACTGAATGCACAGCCGTCTGTCCCTGGGTGGTCACCACGGCTGCTCTGTTACCTTGGCTGACATAGTTGCCATTCCCCACCAGTGGGCCCCAGAGGTCCAGTGTGTCCTCTCCCCAGGATGACCTTGGAGGCTGCTGGTGACCGTCCGTGTGGGAGGTTGTCTGGGGCATCATCACATCCTGGGGCTGCTCTGCGGGAGGGCTGCATGACCATGCCAAGTGGAGGTGACTGCCTGCCCAGCTGCCCCTTCCCAGGTGTCCAGCCCTGGCCACAACCTCCACCAGCACCCCATCCCTGGGAACAAACTCACATCACATCCAGGGGTGGCCTTGGTCAGTGGCCAAGCAGAAGACAGGATTCTGACTCCCTTGCCCGGGCAAGGTAGCTGGGAGAGGCCTGTGGCTCCCCAGTGTGTGGCCCTTGAGGCTTCTGCCTGGAGATGGACTGTCCCTCCCAGGTGCACAGGCTGGGCTCCGGAAGCCTGTGCTGACCTTCAGGGCCCCCGTCTGGTCTGCCTCTGCCTGGGTCACACTGCTGGGGTAGCAAGAAGCCTCCCTGCTCTGAGGTGTCAGCCCCACAACACGACATGTGCCTCCCTTTCTTCTCCAAGCACTGGCCACACCTGGGCACAGCTCGCTACCCCATCCAAGGGTGCCCCTAAGCCTTTCCCCCGGATTCACAGGCAGTCAGGGGTGGGCAGGAGGTGCTGGTTCAGAGTTGGGCCCTAAGGGCCTGGAAGCCCTGTCTCCCGAGGTAGATGGCTTAGGGGCTGAAGCCCGCACTCTCACTGGGGCAGGACCCAGAGGGCCCCTTGTGGGTAACCCCCCATATAGGCACTGAGGAATGAGAGCTAAGCAGAACTCTGGCACAGTTAGGGCCTGAGGAATATCTCCCTGTATAGTGTTACCACTCAGCTGTTTCCTTTTACATAATCCTTTACATAATCATATGTTTATAGAATTAGGGCTTGACAAATCCCTTTATATAATCCTCTATATATAATCATATAATAGTTGATAGTATGAGTGCCTAAAGAATATTTCCCTACACATATACCTATAATTATATCTCAGTTCATATCGGAGGCCATCAGCCTTACACCCCTCAACACCAGTGTGTGCCCCACGCAGGCTCTGGAGGGAGACGGGGCAGTACCCCAGGGCCCGCCACCCAGCCCCCAAAGCAGAGCAAGGCACTGTGCTCCCAGAGCTGCCCCAGAAACAGAACAGGCTGAATAAAAATGGGAACAGGAGCCCCTGACCCCTTCTAAAGTACTCATTCCCCTCCTCGCACCCTCCCCGGCACACGTGTCTCAGCCAAGGACCCCAAGGCAGCTCCATTTGCTCTGTGTGGCTTCTCCCTGGCTCTCCTGGTGCTGGGGTGCAGACACTTGCTCACAGACACACCCCGAGGGGCTTCTCTCCACTGAAGCAGTGAAGGAGGGAAGCACGCCTGCTCCCTCGTGGCAGGACCCCCAGCAGAATACCACAGGCGATTTCTCGGGGGTGGGGGCCCAGAGAACCCAAATTTCCCCTGTGAATGCCTCACGTTTCTCTATTTTCCAGCTGTGGACAGGGCTACACAGGAGGATGGGCTGATCCCACCATAGGGTCTGGTTCTGCAACCACGAGGCTACCAGCCCCTGCCCCCTCCAGCCCTATAAGGAAACTCTGGGGGACCTCGTGGTGGTAGTCGGCCTGGAAGCCTCTTCAGAGACTCTTAGGACTGGATGCCTCATCAGTCTGCACCCAGGCTTCTTTGAAAGCTTCGGGAAGAACCACAGAGCTAATGGCCGAGGCTGAGTGGCCGACTCCCCTCCCTGCAGAGGCCCCTCTGGGCTGGAAGAGCTTTGGGGCACTGTCCTAGGCAAGCAGGAGCCTGCAAAGGCTGCTCCCACTGCGTCTGCACTGCCCCCCGCCTTTGCTGCTTCTAGGGGTTCCCTGATAGAGTCTTGAGGCCTGCCAGCCCTAGGGGCCTGAGCTTGGGAAGAGAAGGACTCCCCTGCCCTCCAGGGTCATTTTGAGCCATTTTGTTCCCAGCATCAGGAAGCCAGGGGCGAGTGATGGGAAAAGTCACTGCTCCTCACACAGCCAGGCTCTCGGACAGGTGACCCCTGTCATCACACCCTCCCCTGCTCCATGGGGACAGTCCAGGCAGAGCCCCGGGTGCCCTCTAACGAGGCACTTTTGCTGCAAACCAAAGCTGACGGCCATATGGCCAGGGCTCAGAGAAGGTCAAGCCGCCCCAAGCCACCCTGGGAGGGGGTGCCTAGGCTACACGTGTCACCCCTGGCCCCTGAATCAGGTCTGTCCACCAGCTGTGCCCCACAGTGTCCCACACAGCTGCAGGCAGGAGAGCACCCCGTCCCTATTCCACAGGCGAGGAAACAGGCTGAGAAGGTCCCTCCTTGTGGCCACACTCTGGCCAGCTGCAGAGCTGGGAACCTGACACCAGCTGCTGGGGCTCCTCCCGTGAGGCTCGGGCAGCTCCAGTACCCACTGGGCCCACTCAATCCCCTCAATGCCCACACCCTTCCATCCTCCCAGGCACAGGTGGGAATGGGGCTGAGTGAGCGCCAGCCACCCTATGTGGAAAAGGCCTCTCAGGCCAATGTGAGGGTCCGAACCCCTGCCCCGGGACCCCCCAGACCAACCAACTCACTGTGTGTCCTTCGAGCTTGCAAGGCTGCTCTGGGGGTGGTGGCCGGCGGGGCTGCTGGGCCTGTGCTGTGTCACGGGACATGGGGAGGGCTCCAGCCTCAGGCTTGTCTCTAAGCTTCCCTCCCAGGTGGCCTTGACTTTGGGGCTGGGACCCTGTGAGAGACAGGAGAGCCTGGAGTGGCTGCCTCTGCCCATTCCTCCTCGGAAAAGCCGGGGCTGGGCTGCACGTGGCAGTGGCCGAGCTAGGGCTGGTGCGGCATCCCAGCCGCTTGCTCCCCCTTGGGATGCCAGGCTGAAATAGGGCCTCCTCTTTGAGCAGGGGTCCTGCATCCCCATGGAGAGGTGTGGACGGGAGGCCCAGAGTGAGAAGTCTTTGCCCAAGGCCAGCCGGAGACCCCCACGGCCAGCTCTGGAATCAGGTTGCTGGGGTCCCCTCTCCTGCAGCCCAGCCTGGAGCAGATGCTTCAGAGAGCTCATATCATTCCATCCTCACCCCCACCCTCCAAGTGAGCCAGCCACCCTCCCCACCTTACAGAGGAGACATGCAGGTCAGGGAGGCACACAGCTTGCTGGGGATGGTCCCCAGCCTCGTCCACACAGCTCCCCAGTCAGCTGGTAGACATGGGAGAAGGAGGGGACAGTCCCCCACCCTCATCCACACAGCTCCCCACTCCGTCAGCCAGAGGACATGGGAGCAGGAGCCTCCCTCCAAGGACATAGCTGCTGCTTGGGGTCCCCAACGGGTTGGCCTCCCTGAGAAGCTCCCAGCCACACTCTCCTTCCTGCCTGGGTCCCACGAGATCCCCAGTCCTGCTCATCCTCCTGCCCCATCCACTGCTGCCCCCGCCTGAAGACTGGCTCTGCTCTAGGGCCTGGCCAGGACCACCCCATCCAGGAAGACTCCTCAGCCCCCCAGCTGTGGCCCCTCCCTCCCTCCATTGCCCCACCCCACCCCCCAGCAAGTCAGCCTGGGGCCACAGGCATTTTTACAAGGGACTTGCAAGATCCCAAGAAGTGGCCAGGGTGGACAGCTTTTCCTGGGCTGAGCCCCAGCGCAGGTGAGAGCGCCCACCTGTGGCAGCTTGACCTGGGCCTGCAGCTCGAGCAAGGGGAGGGTGTCCATGGGCCTCGGCGTTGGGGGGACATCTGCAGGCCTCAGTGTAAGGGGGACGTCCAATCTCGATGTGGGGGGTACCTCTGTGGGCCTTGGTGTAGGGGGGATGTCCGAGGGGCTCCGTGTAGGGGGGACATCCATGGGGCTCAGCATGGAGGGGACATCTGTGGGCCTCAGCGTGGGGAGGGCACCCGAGGGCCTCGGTGTGGGGAGGTCATCCTCGGGCCTCTGGGTGGAGACACCCCTCTGCTGCTGCAGGAGCCGCATCCTATCTCAGTGCCTGAGCAGCTGCATGTGCCACAGGTATTGGATTTCCCTCTGAGCAGGGTGAAAGGAGCAGGTGTTAGCAGAACCCGCAGCAGGGGAAAAGGCCAATGAAAGGGAAGGGGTATCTGGTGGGATGTCCTGGCCTTGCACTGGGGGGGCCTTCCTTTCCCTCCAGTTGGCCTTTGCGCACCCCTCCTACCAGGCCTAGGATACCCCCATGGCCTTGGGCTTCCCTGGGCTTGGTGGAGGAGGCAGCTTCAGACAGCAGGATGTGGAGGGCGGGATGCAGAGGGCAGGATGCAGACGGCGGGATGAGGAGGGAGGCAGGTACTCATACTTGGGGCCTGAGCAAGGCTGGCACAGGCTGACTGGGCCTTGCCCTCCCTCTCTCCAGGCTCTGGGCACTGCCCCCACTCTGTCGCTCCTTTTACGACTGTTCTCTCTGTTCCCCACAGCGTCCTGGTGGACACACCTTTGTAACCTTGCACAGAGCCCAGGCCAGGCCCTTGCACAGCTACCCTGGGAGATGGCAACTGCATCACTGAGACGGGAAACTGAGGCTCTGCCAAGGGAGTGTCTCATCCACAGCCCCATTGGTGGGGGGTCTCAGATCCCACCTCCACCACGGCACCTGCCTTCGACAGCCGGGCTACGGCTGAGTGTCCCTGCCCTGGCCAGCTCTAGGCCTCCTGCCTGGGCTCCCTGCAGGGCCTGTTCTTCCAGGCCTGCTCCTTGCCAGGTGACAGGTGAACCCCCTTCTAAGCCCCTTTTACTTCCATGGCTCTCACTGTTCCCTGCGGTGCCTGCCTTTTTCTGTTTCCCTCTATCCGAGAGGATCCGCGCCTGGGTCTGTGGCTGGGTCTCCACCCTCAGCTCCCTTGCCTGGGACGCCCCACACCTGACACCCCAAGTCCCAGCATGTACAGGGCATCCAGGGTAGGGTGGGGATCCTGGGCATTCCAGTCAGCACACCCCAACTTCCCCAAGGAGGGTCCTGGGGTCAGTAAGTCCCCCACCACAGCCTCAGCTTCTTTTTTCTTTTTTTTTGAAACAAGGTCTCACTCTGTTGCCCAGTGTTGCCCAGGCTGGAGTGCAGCGGTGCAATCTCAGCTCACCGCCGCCTCGACCTCCCGAGCTCAAGCGATCCTCCCACCTCAGCCCACCAAGTAGCTGGGACTACAAGCATTGGCCACCTGTAGTGGCAGGTTTATTTTTTGTAGTGACCGGGTCTTGCTGTGTTGCCCAGGCTAGTCGCACATTCCTGGGCTCAGGCCATTCTCCCACCTTGGCCTCCCAAAGTTCTGGAATTACGGGTGTGAACTGCCTCACTTGGCCAGGTTTCTTTATCTGTACCAAGGCACCAGCCCCTGCCCCACAGCCTAGGGTCAGTGAAGTGAGGATTCGGGCACAGCGGGCCTGACCTGTGAGGAGCCCTCGAGCCTGTGACCTGAATGGGGCCGGCAAGGGTCCTCGCCCTGGCTCTCAGGCTTGCTCCCCAGTCTCACTCTCCACCGAAAGCACAGCCCTGACTCAGGCAGCTGTCCACCTCCACGAGTGCGCCCAGCACTGAGTCTCCCTGGGGGTCTGCTTCCTCCAGATCTGGTGACAATGATGGCCGGAAGGCAGGAGCAGCCACTGACTGAGACCCCCCACCGCCAGTCGAGTCTTGGGAGTAGCCCAACCCACCCTCACAGCCCCCATGCATGTGCACATCAGGCTTCTCATTTTTCAGATGAGGGAACTGGGCTTGGAGCAGACAGGAAAGTCCTCTGACGTCGTACATGGGCACACATCCACTCAGGGAAGTGCTGGCTGCACCAAACTCTCCCAAACCCCTGTTTACAGGTACTACAATTATTCTCCTGTTGCAAGAGGAAACCGAGGCTCCAAGAGACAAAGCCACTTGCCCAAGGTGACATCCAGCAAAAGTCTGAGCCTGGACTGGAGCCAAGGCCACAGGGCCACCATCGACCCTGGCTATGATGCCACAGATATTTGTGTACGGGGCCTCGCTCCACCCTGGTCATGATGCCCCCTCAGGCCGTAGACACTCCTCATGTACTGCAGGGTCCTGTGTGGCCCCGGAGGGCAGCAAGGGCTTGGGAATTCTTTAGCTGTGGTGCTGGGGGAGGTTCAGATTCCAGGCAGGAAGAGGACAGGGCCACCGCGTCTATGTGCCGCCTCCCCCAACCTGACAGGCCTGTGCTGCCCCCACCTGCTCCTTCTCAAATCTGCTGAGGGCTTGATGCTGCTTCTCCACCAGCACAGCCAGCAGGGCTCTGTCCCTCTTGCTGTCCAGGCACCTGGGGGAGGTGGTAACATCACTGCCAATCTTGACAGCCCGTGCAAGTGGATATAGAAGAAAGTCACAGACACAGCCAGCCCTGGTCGGCCACATCCACCTGGAATGCTCTCCCAAGGTGTGGGCACTGGGGAGGAGGCGGCCGAGCGTGGACAGAATCAGCAGCCTTGGGGTGGCCAGATGGCCCCAGGCCGGGCTGTCACTCTTCCACCCTTCACAGCCACTTTTGGACTTTTGGGTATAAAGAGACAAAGGTTGAGAGGAGCCCCTCCCACCCTGAAGACCCAGCCCAGGCCCATGGGTCCTCTGGGGAGGGAGGTGGGGGTCGCCTCCCAACACAGAACACAACACCCTCAGCCTGGCCCGCTCAGACACCGGGTGAGGATGTTAACTGGAATCACCGTTCTGGGGACCAATCTGGCATTATCAAGAGGCTTCCAAATGCACTCTCCCTGACTCGGTTATCCCACTTCTAAGGTTTTACCTTAAGGATATGATCTCTCCATGGTAGTTAACAATGGCCAAAAGTTGGAGACAACCTAGAACCCCGAGACCTGGGACAGACTAAGGGAGTCAGAGCCGCCGGTGCACCCTGTGTGTCAGGGAGCCACACCGAAAGGTTTTATAACCCGGGGCCCGTTTGCAACACTAGCCACGTGTTTCTCCCCAAAACAGAGTATGGGCAAAGATTATCTCAGAGGTCATCTTTGGGACGATGGGGTTTTTGTTTGTTGAGTACTTTACTGTCTTATCTAAGTTTCCACAAACACCTACTATTATTTGGACCACTACCTTTCGTTCCTCAAAACGCTGTCGGGGGTCAAGGGAGGGACCCGGGCGGGGCGGGGCGGGGAGGGGCGGGGCCGGCGCTGGGCGCATGCGCTCACCCTCTCCGATGCTCCAGCAAGGCCCGCTCGGCGAGCGTTTTCTCCCGGAGCGCCATCTCGCGCAGGCGCAGCAACGCGGCCTGGTGCTGCGCTCGCAGCTCCTCCTCCAGCAGGCTCCGCTCCCACATCTGCAGCTTGAAGCGGCCCAAGGCTCCTAAAGCTCCAGGTTCGGCGCTTCCGGGCCTCGCGGGGCTCCACTAGGGCGGGCCGATCAACCGGGCCTTGTCACCGCCTAGCTTCTAAGCCGCTCCCGGCACAGGCCGCCGCCTCCGAGAAGCCCTCTCGGACTGCCCGCCCCTTGTCGCCCATGCCGCGCCCGTCTTTCCCCGACTGTGAGCTCCCGGGGCAGGCGGGGCAGGCAGGATCCTCCTAATCTCGGCCTCTGCTCAGCCCTGATCCAGCCACCTGCCCTAAAATGTACAACCTGGGCGGGGGTAAGTCTGCCCAAAGCCACAAGTTGAAATGCTCTCCTCTGTCACCCAGGGCGGGAGGAACGGGCTTGGGAAGCTGTCAGCCGGAAGACTGGGTGACACGATGGCCAGAAGACCCAACCCAGGACCTGCCTTGGCGCTGCGCAATGGAGGGACAGTTGGGTCCAGCTGGGCCCTGAAATTGTGCCCCTCCCCCAGGGACCTCTCCACGTACCTGCTGGACAGGGTTGTCCGGAGGGAGGTGCTTGGCCAGGGACAGCTGGGAGAGGATTCTGTCAGGGCCCCCCACGTCTGAGGAAGGAGGCACCATGGTTGGGTCATGTGGGGGGTCGGGGACCATTTCTACAGGAGGGCCTCACGAAAGCAGGTCTAAGGCAGTTTCATGCCCCCACCCCCTCCCAGACACACAAGGCTTCACACAGAATCTTCACCAGACCACGCAGGAAGGGACCGGCAGTCCCATGTGACCAAGCAATCGTAGGGAAGACCAGACCAAAAGTGGAGGGAGCTCAGGGAGGACAGCCCAGCGACTCTGCTTCTACAGGAGGGGAGACTGAGGCCCAGAGAGGGGGAACGGCTGTTTGAGGTCCAGCACCAAGGAGCTGGCAGATGACAGCAGAGCCGGATCCCCAGTGGAAGTAGCCACCCTGCTGCCGGCCTCTGCTGGCCACGCTTCCATACTGGGAGGGATGGAAAAGGAGCCTCTACTTCAAAAGATACTTACAGACTTGCCCTCCCCACAAAGAGAGGGCAAAAGGGACTGGATTTCGGCTTTGCCATCCCATCTGCCACAAGTAAAAAATCACATAAATATACACACATATATGTGTGGTTATATATATGGGTGGGTGTATGTATGTATTTTCACACACATATATGAAAGAACAGTTTTCCAGACACTGGACGTGAGGCAACATAGCACAGTGATCCCCGAGAGACAGAAAACAACGGAGGTGAGACCAATGATGCTCACAGATGACTGCCTGAGAGAGTTGCTAAGCCACATGCAGGGAGGTGAAGATGGTGGAGCTGGTGGAGTCCCTGAGTAGAGGAGACAGAGCCCAGAGTCTCAGGGGACCAAGGCAGCTGGAGTTCATGGGGGCAGAATGTCAGAGAGGAGAGGGTCACACAGAAGAGGACCTCTGAGATCTAGGAAGTGTCCCCCTGGAATATTCATCAGAGAACTAATGGAGGAATGTGCACATCCAGAAGCTACCAGATGCTGGGATAGAAGCATCCGAAGGACCAGAAGCCTGGGAATGGTAGCCAGGCTGGAGGACCTCAGGACTGCCAGGTCACTGGGCAGGCAGCGGACACAGAACGTTCTTGCCTTGACTGTGGGAACTAATTAGCCCCAGGCTGAGCACTGATCCAGAGCAAGCTAACACACTATTAACACAAAGTCTGAAAGGATCAAATTACTTCCAAGTAACTGCATTCCAGAACAAAGCTTAAGAGTGTTTACAGGGTGGAGTGCAGGTGGCTCACGCCTGTAATCCCAGCACTTTGGGAGGCTGAGGTGGGCAGATCACAAGGTCAGGAGATTGAGACCATCCTGACCAACATGGTGAAACTCTGTCTCTACTAAAATACAAAAAATTAGCCGGGCATGGTGGCGGACAACTGTAGCCCCAGCTACTCAGGAGGCTGAGGCGGAAGAATTGCTGAACCCAGGAGGCAGAAGTTGCAGTCAGCCGAGATAGCACCATTGCACTCCAGCCTGGGTGACAGAGCAAGACTCCATCTCAAAGAAAAAAGAAAGGGATGTTTATAGGAATACAAAAATATCTAGTGCTCAGAAGGTAAAATTCACAACGTCCAGAAGATATGCAAAGAAACCAGAACCCCCAGTCCATAAGGAGCTGGGTAGTTTATTGACACTGAGCCAGGCTTGATGTGGGTGTGAGGACTGGCAGAGGAGGAGATGAGAAGTTTCCTAACTGTGTCCCGCACGTTTGAGATGTTAAGGAGAGTCACAGAGAATATAAAACGGAAAGATCCAAATGGAATGTGCGAACTGATGAAAATAAAACACTTGAGATGAAAAACACACTGGATGAGATTAAGGGCAGAGGAGAGACAAACAAACTGGAAGATACAGCACTAGAAACTGGCCAAAAAGAAACAGAGAAATAAAAGAATAAAAAGAACTTCAGTCAGCTCATAACTTCAAGTGGCCTAATATATGGGTAATTGGAGTCCCTGAAGGAGAGGCGAGAGAAAGAGGAGCAAAAAGAACAAATAGCGGCTGAATTGTTTCCGAATTTGAAGAAAAGGATAAATCCACAGGTCCAAGAATCTCAGCAAACCCCAGGGACAAGAAACTCCGGGCGTGGTGGCTCATGCCTATAATCTCAGCACTTTGGCAGGCTGAGGTGGGCGAATCACCTGAGTTCAAGAGTTCAAGACCAGCCTGGCCAACATGGTGAAACCTTATTTCAAAAATTAGCTGGGCATCATGGCATGCACCTGTAATCCCAGCTACTTGGGAGGCTGAGGCACGAGAATCACTTGAACCTGAGAGGCAGAGGTTGTAGTAAGCTGAGATTGTGCCACTGCACTTCAGCCTGGGCGACAGAGTGAGACTCAGTCTTCAATAAATAGAAAGAAAAACAATAACAAAGGACATCATAATAAAATCATTCAAAACCAGTAACAAAGAGAAAGTCTTAAAGGCAGCCAGAGAAACAGATGCAGTGATGTGCTGAGGGATCAAGGAGGTGGATGGCAATCAATTTCTTGTCACCAACAATGCAGGCAAGAAGATGACGGCCGGGCGCGGTGGATCACAAGGTCAAGAGATGTAATCCCAGCACTTTGGGAGGCCGAGGCGGGTGGATCACGAGGTCAAGAGATCAAGACCATCCTGGTCAACATGGTGAAATCCCGTCTCTACTAAAAATACAAAAAATTAGCTGGGCGTGGTGGCGCGTGCCTGTAATCCCAGCTACTCAGGAGGCTGAGGCAGGAGAATTGCCTGAACCCAGGAGGCGGACGTTGCGGTGAGCTGAGATTGCACCATTGCACTCCAGCCTGGGTAACAAGAGCGAAACTCCGTCTCAAAAATAAAAAAAACTGCAGGGAGAACTAGGAAATCACAGTCGGGTATTACAATACCGTCTCCTATTCATCCAGAGGAATCTTAGGCAGAAAATGCACCAAGATGCAGTAGATTTGAAGAGCACTATCCACCACCCTGGTCTAAGCCATGTCATAGAATATTCCACTCAGAAACAACAGGATGTACATTGTTTCCAAGGAGCACCCGCTGACGTAGACCATATTCCAGGCTAAAGCCCGAGTCTGATGATGAGAGTCACACAAATTTGCTTTGTGAACACAGTGAAATCAAACTAGGAACGCACCACAGGAGCCCAGCCTGGAGATGTGGGGACTGTGCCCGACTGGGAAGTCAACGCATCTGCCATGATCACGCTGAGGCCTGAAGGCATCTCGTGGAGGTCTTGCCCGATGGCCTGCACGTGGACCCTTATTTGCTGACACACATCACACAGGAGGGGAGTCTGGACCAGCTTTCCACACAGCCCACATGGAGAGGCTGTGCAGAGACCCTTCCCATTAGGGAAAGCCACTCAAAGAGATAGAGGTGGCTCTATCAGCAGGCCTGGAGCCAGGGAAGGGTCCCTGTTCCTGAAGATGCTGAAACAGGTTGTACTCAGGCTTCCAGGAGATGGCAGCCATCTAGAGGCCAGCCTGGAGGTCACGCCAGCTCGGAGGAGCTGAGACCCTCTGTCCCAGAGCAGGGCCAACAGCAGCCTGTGCTCCTGGATGGCCAAGCTTCCGTGTTTGTCCTCCCTGGGCTGTGGACCTCCCTCCCTGTTGGGCTGGTCCCCCAGCTCTAGGGAAGCTTTCCTGCTGAGACCCTGACTCAGCTCCCTCAGGCTGGGTGGGTGGAGATGGTGTCTGCCAGCTGTCTAACCAAGTTTACCCAGGCTCAAGGGGTGCCAGGGGCTGGGGCTTTCCAAGGGTCAGTCAGGTGAGCACTGGACTCAGACAGACCTGCCTGCAGATACTGGCTCCGCTCAGCATGGCCTTGGGCAGCCGCTGTGGCCCCCTGTGCCTCCCCATTTTGTACCTGCCTCGGTTCCCCCCTCTCTGCTTCACACTGGCTGAGGGCTCTGCCTGCCTCAGGGGCTGGGGGGAGTTTTGAGGACACTGTCACCTGCAGAGGCTGGTTTGGCCATCGCAATTTCTGATCTGTCTTTGGGACCCTGGAAGGATGTGGCAGCGTCTGTGTCCAGAGGTGGGCATGACCTGTGGGTGAGGACACGCCAGGGAAACTCTGCACCAGTGCCACAGTACCCACCCCACACCAGCGCTGGCAGTGCCCACCCTGCACCAATGCCCACAGTACCCACCCCACACTAGCACCCAGAGTGCCCACCACACTGCCAGTGCCTGCAGTGCCCACCCCACTGCCAGCACCCCCACTGCCCACCCCGCTGCCAGTGCCCGCAGTGCCCACCCCACTGCCAGTGCCCACAGTGCCCACTACACTGCCAGCACCCATAGCACCCACCCCATGCCCACAGTGCCTGCCCCACGCCAGCAACCACAGTGCCCACCCCACACCAGTGCCTGCAATGCCCACCTTACTGCCTGTGCTGAGAGACTCCCACCCATCATTTCCACGTCGGGAAGGTGTGGCCAGCCCTAGCCTCTAGAGGCCTTACCTGGGTGTGGCCATTACTGTGCTCTGAGAGGCTGTGGTCTGTTCTCTGTCCTCGAAAATCTGAGGCTGCTCCAACTTTGACACCTTCTCTGGCTTGGCCTGGGTTGAGTGTCTCTCCATCAGCTGCTGTGGGAAGTTCAGGGGTGGGCGTTGTAGAGGATGCAAGAGTTAGCTCCACAACTGGGCATTGGGTCTGGACAGCCGGGCCATGCCCGGTCCCAAGGAGGAGCCTGAAGCTGGGCAAGCCTCCAAGAGATAGAGGTGGTCATATCAGCAGGCCTTGAACTCATGGGCCTCTTTGCCGATCTTCCAAGTGGGGCCGACAGGCCCCTCCTGCCTCCCAGAGAGGCTGCTTCAGGGAAGCTGGGGTGGCCAGTGCCCAGCCAGAGCTGGAGGGTGTGGGAGCCAGGGGCCAGCTGTGCCGAAGATGGGTGGAAAGGGAACCCCAGCTCTGGTCCCAGCTGGGGGTGCTTGGAGAGCAGGCACAGGAGGGCAGCAAAGCCCATGATGGGGGAGCAGGGAGGGAACAGACAGGGATGCTGGCCGGGGCATCTGCGCTGCGGTGGGTCTGAGGGTGCCCAAGTACGTACTCACACGCACACACGTGTACTCATGCACACAAACACGTGCACGCACACACGTGTACTCACATACACACACTGCACACACACACATGCATGTGCACACACGCACTCACACACACTCGTGCACTCACACCTGTGCACACACACTTGTGCACTCCCACACATGTGCATTCACATTTGTGCACACACCCTTGTGCACTCCCACACATGTGCATTCACATTTGTGCACACACCCTTGTGCACTCCCACACATGTGCATTCACACACACTCATGCATTCACACACGTGCAGGCACACTCTTCTATCACACTCCTGGAGATGCCCTATGTGTACCATGAATGTCCCTCCCACCAGCGGCCCCTGAATCAAACACAGGAGAAAGCTCCGCCTCCCAGAAGGATCATCCCCTCCAGCCACGCCATAGCCATCAGCCGCCCAGTCAGTGCTCTGCCAGGGTCACCACTTGTAGGCCTGGATGACACTGTCCCCTCATGTCACAGGTGCTGGGCCACCCCAGACAGTGGGAGCTGCCTGTTGGAGGGGACCCTATTGGCACCAGACGGCCCAGCAGCAGCGGCTCAGGAGACACTAAGCCCCTTCCCTCTGGCAAGAGACCTGTCAGGTCTGTAAGCACCACATGCACTTTGGGTGGTGAGCTCCAGGCTCCTGTGGAGAGCCCAGGGCTAAGGGGCCTACCAGGCCTGGGACATGGACAGGTGGCAGTTCCCATGGCAGTCTTTGCACTCCTCCCCAGCATGACTGACCTTCCCACCCAACCTCCTGCAGAGACAGGAGGGCGGCCAGCACCACTACCACCAGCCGACTCCTGAAGAGCAGCCCATCCAGGGCCTGCTTCTTCTCCCAGGCCTCCAGCTCTGCCCGCTGCCGCAGTAGGGCCAGAGCCTGCTTCTGCCACTCCAGCTACAGGGAGAGCCCACGGCTCACAGTTCCTGCCACCCCCGGCCAGGGTGGGTGGAACCCTTCTGCGGAGGTCACCCCGAGGTACCCTATGTCTGGGCAGGGCCCCTCCCTCCAGCCCACCGACTTTCTCTCCCTGCCAGGGACTTCCCCCTCACCCTGGAAGGCCAGGTGCCCTGGATCTGCTCCTCCCGCCTCCAAGCTCCTCTCCCTCTCATCTGGCCCAGCTGTTTTTAAATTCTATAGTTCTGTGTGTTAGAGCCTCTTCTGCTTGGCCTCTGAGGGACGGAGGCTGTTCCCAGCTCACTGCCTAGCAGAAGAGCCCAAAGGGGCAAACCTGGAGAGAATCCAGAAAGCTGGAGGTCTTTTGCTGGGTGCTGGGAAGGCGTCTCATGCATGCGTCCTCCTGCTGACCTGTGGAACCACGAAGGGGGCAGCTGAGTGGCCCGGGACCCTCTCCAGGCCACCCCTCGCCGCTGCCTCGTCGCTCCATGGCATGGCGGGTTAGCATAGCCTCTCTACCTGCAGGGAGACCGAGGCACAGAGGCCAGGAATGCAGGCGCGCTGACTCCTGAGCCCAGCTGGCATCCACTCCATCAAGAGTCCCTGCCCCAAACGTGAAGGAAGGCTGGGAGGGCTGTACCCGCACAGAAGGGCACAGAGGGCTGCTGAATCTCCTTGTCCCTGCCAAGGCTGTCTGCCTGACCCCAGCCACGATCAACTCCAGGACGGATGGCAAGAGTCTGTGGGGAGGGTGGGGCCCAGGACATGGGCTTTGCCTCCAGACAGACTGGGTCCGTCATGCATTTGCCATGTGACCTTGAACAAATCACTTGTCAGTCAGAGCCCAGTGGGGTCACAGAGGTCCCTCCTTCCCTTGTGTGAGAGTTGAGGAGATGGCTTGATACAGGCTGGCTGCTCAATCAGCAGGTAGAAGCTGCTGCTGATGGTGTGCAGGGGTGGGTGGTGATGAGGGGGGATGGTGATGAGGGAGGGGTGGTGCTGAGGGGGGTGATGCTGAGGGGGTGGTGATGCGGGGGTGGTGGTGATAAGGGAGGGGTGGTGATGAGGGGGCTGGTGATGGGGAGCTGGTGATGAGGGAGGGGTGGTGATGAGGAGGGGTGGTGATGAGGGAGAGGTGGTGATGAGGGAGGGGTGGTGATGGGGGTGGTGATGAGGGAGGGGTGGTGATGAGGGTGGTGATGAGGGAGGGGTGGTGATGAGGGAGGGGTGGTGATAAGGAGGGGTGGTGATGAGGGAGAGGTGGTGATGAAGGAGGGGTGGTGATGAAGGAGGGGTGGTGATGAAGGAGGGGTGGTGATGAGGAGGGGTGGTGATGAGGGAGGGGTGGTGATAAGGGGGAGTGGTGATGAGGGGCTGGGTGGTCATGAGGGAGAGGTGGTGATGAGGGAGGGGTGGTGATGGGGGTGGTGATGAGGGAGGGGTGGTGATGAGGGTGGTGATGAGGGAGGGGTGGTGATGAGGGGGGTGGTGATGAGGGAGGGGTGGTGATAAGGAGGGGTGGTGATGAGGGAGAGGTGGTGATGAAGGAGGGGTGGTGATGAAGGAGGGGTGGTGATGAAGGAGGGGTGGTGATGAGGAGGGGTGGTGATGAGGGAGGGGTGGTGAAGAGGGGTGGGTTGTGATGGGGGGTGGTGATGAGGGGTGGGTGGTAATGAGAGAGGGGTGGTGATGAGGGAGGGGTGGTAATGAGGGGTGGGTTGTGATGAGGGAGGGGTGGTGATGGGGGGTGGTGATGAGGGAGGGGTGGGTGGTAATGAGGGAGGGGTGGTGATGAGAGAGGGGTGGTGATGAGGGAGGGGTGGTAATGAGGGGTGGGTGGTGATGAGGGAGGGGTGGTGATGGGGGGTGGTGATGAGGGAGGGGTGGGTGGGTGCTGATGGGGTGAGTGGGTGAATGCAGACATAAACACACGCCCAAGTCCAGGGCTCTCTCTGGAATTTCTGTGATTGACCCTAGGCATGCATATGAAAACCTCCACCTCCTCCTTGGATAGTGAAGTCCCCAATGGCCACAGAGGGGCTTTTCTTTCTCCTCGGTGGTCCCCAGGGTCCCAATTCTGACTCTGCACATGCTGGAGCTCCTGGTCCCATGGAGGCTGCCACCAGGAGGTGCTGTACTCAGCGGGGTCTGCGATGGTGGGGCTCTTGTGGATGACCGCTGTCGGATGAGCCCTTGGCCACTGTTGGCTCGTGAATGGGCAGAGCCAAGACCAGGATCCCCGCTTGGACTGCCCCGAGACCGCGGCTCCTCCAGCAGACCGCCCACCTTCCCTGATGGAGCAGCTCAGCCGTGAACCACAGCTAGGCCAGATCCTGGGTGTTTCCACAGCAGCAGAGGACACCCCACAGCACCCAGACAGTGTGAGCAGCAGGGGCACTGGCCACCTGGAGTGCTCTGAGCAGTTGGCTCACCCTGGCCCCCTATCCAGCTGGTGATGACGGGAAGACACTCTTAGACTTCCTGGTTTTGGTTCAACGTCTGTTCTGAACTGAAATTTCTCTGCAAAGGGAAGAAACCATCCTTTGCTTTTGTTTCACGGCCCTGAGAGAGGCTGACACCAGAGAAGGGGCCCCAGCCCCCATCAAATGCCCCTCTGGCACCTGGGAGCCTCATAGTCCTGAGGTCCCCACAGATCTCCCAGCTGTGGCCTGAGGAGGGGGAGTCCTGGTCATCACCAGCCACGTTGGCACCCAACAGATCAGGGAACATGGGAGGACATGAGCTGCTTGTTCCTGAGCTCTGAGTCGTGACCCAGGAGAAAGTGAGCTGTCCCAAGCTTAGCACTGTCCTGGCTGGACAGAGACTGCAGGAGTCACCCCAGTGAGTGCCCCAACTCCCCTAGTAATGGGTGAGAAGCTCCAAGAGTCTAGCTTCACCTGCCACCCCAAAGTCCCTGGTAGCTGTGAGGATGCAATGGGACAGTCTGACAGATCTCAGCACGTGGCAGCTGCCATCACAGCTGGAGAGGATGATGTAACTAGCTACGTTCTGTCACGTGGTGTGGGTCCTGGGGAACCACAGCCTCAAACCAGAATTAAGCTGGCAGGACCCCTGACCTCCATGGGGCTCTGGAGTTAGAGAGCCACGGCTCTGCTGTCCAACATGGCAGCTGGCAGCCACACCTGCCGTTTACATTTAAACTTAAGTTAACAGAAAATAAAACATAAAATGCCACTCTTCAGTCACACTGGCCACATTTTCATGGCTTAACAGTCACATGTGGCTGGTGGCTACCATACTGGACAACTCAGAATCCAGAACTTTTCCTTCATCGCAGAAGGTTCTATTGAATAGTGTGGTGTATGTGTTTAAGTCTAGAAAGTTCCACTGGACAGAGTTAGTCTACATGTTTCAACCTAGAAGCTTCCATTGGACAGTTCTGGTCTAGGTGTTTATGTCTAGAAAGTTGCTTGGACAACTCTGGTATAGATGTTTATGTCTAGAAGGTTCCACTGGACAGCTCTGGTCTAGGTGTTTAAATCTAGAAGCTTCCATTGGACAGCTCTGGTCTAGGTCTTTATTTCTAGAAGGTTCTCTCGGACAGTGCTGCTTGCAGTCATAAAAGCTAGACCCAACAGACTCCTGTTGCCTGTCCCCCTGGGGCTACTGCACCTTCTGCCCACAGGATGATGAATGAGGAATAGGGGTAAAGTCTGCCACTTCAGGCTGCCCCTTCCAAGAAGAAGGCAGAGCCTGACTCTGACCTCACCCACTTGGGAGATCCTGGCCAAGAGGTGGCTGTCCTGTGGCCATCGGGAACTGTCTGTGGCTCACAGCAGCCAGCTCCTGCCCATCCAGCCTTCAGGAAGGGCAGTCACCAAATCCAGCAGGGGGAGAACAGAGCCCCATCCCAGCCCATCCCTGGGCACCCCAGGTAGCTCGACACACCTCCCTGGGCTGCACTTTCTGGGGAGAGGAAAGATGGTGCTATGGTTTGATCGTTTGTCCCTCCTCACGTTGAAATGCACAGCAATTCAGCCACGAGGCGATTCAGCCACAAGGCGATTCAGCCACGAGGGCTCCACCGTTGTGAATGGATGAGTGCCATCACTGTGGGAGCAGGTTCGTTAGAAAAAGGAGAGTCCTGCTCCCTTTTGCCCTCTCCCCCTCTCACCCTCCTGCCTTCCTCTCCATGTTGATGCAGCAAGAAGGCCCTCACCAGAAGGCCGGCTCCTTGTTTTCAGACTCCCCAATCTCCAGAACTGTGAGCCAATACATTTCTGTTCGTCATAAGTCACCCAGTCTCTGGGATTCTGTTACAGCAGCATAAACAACCAAGGCCAGAGGCCCATAAGGGCTGTCCTGGCTCTGAATCCCCCAGCACATGCGCTTTCTGCCCCTTCCGGTTGAATTCTCCCTTTGCAGTGATGCCTCAGATCCCACACTCTGTGTACCCACACTTGCTCATCTTCTTACCGCCCACGCTCCCTGAAACAGGTGCTGCAAGGGCCAAGCCCTGCTCCCTCAGTGCCAGGCAGGCAGTGATGGTCAGAGGGTGTGTGTGGAAGGGAAGGGCAGGTGCACACCAGAGCTGCAGAGGTTTTCACACCATGGAGACTGGGAGAGTCTCCTCGGGGAGGGGCCGGGGTGAGGGAGACGCAGACCCTTCCTCCCTCAGAGGGCTCCAGGTTTGAGCCCGACAGGCCCCTCACACACACACAAACATGCACACACGTACATGCACGCACACACACAGGACCCTCTCTGCCAGTCCACAGAGAACAGTTTCCCTGAAGCTGCCAGGTCTGGCTCCATGGCCCTGGAAGACCCGTGACCGCCTCGCCCCCACCCCTCACCCACCCCCCCCAACCCCCCCACCCCCGCTCTCAGAAGCAGCCTTCAGGAAGGCTCCAGCCCCAGGCTTTGAACCCAGCCCCTGGGGGTCCACAGCCCAGGACTGACTGGAGCAGGAATGCCTGGGGCTCCCTCAAGCCTTCGCCCCCAGGATTCCCGGCTGCCAGCTGAGGAGGGTACAGGTTGTATCTGGGGCTGCCCTGGGGTGGTGGTCCGGAGTAGGGGTGGGATGGGGGCCCCCATTCACTCGGAATACATCCTCCCGCCACGTCTCCCCCAGCCAGACATGAGCGTGTTTTACGCTAATGCTCAAAACCTGTTCTTCTGAAGATAATCAATAAATAACGATGAAACAGCAGAGCCCACGCCTCCCCAGAAGCCCCTGCGCCTTCTCTGAGCCCCCGCCTTCTCTGAGTCCCCGCCTTCTCTGAGTCCCCGCCTTCTCTGAGCCCCCGCCTTCTCTGAGTCCCCGCCTTCTCTGAGTCCCCGCCTTCTCTGAGCCCCCGCCTTCTCTGAGTCCCCGCCTTCTCTGAGTCTCCGCCTTCTCTGAGTCTCCGCCTTCTCTGAGTCCGCGCCTTCTCTGAGTCCCCGCCTTCTCTGAGTCTCCGCCTTCTCTGAGTCCCCGCCTTCTCTGAGTCCCCGCCTTCTCTGAGTCCCCGCCTTCTCTGAGTCTCCGCCTTCTCTGAGTCCCCGCCTTCTCTGAGTCCCCGCCTTCTCTGAGTCTCCGCCTTCTCTGAGTCTCCGCCTTCTCTGAGTCCCCGCCTTCTCTGAGTCCGCGCTCGGTTCCCGAGGCTGCACCCGCCCCTCCAGCTGCCCCACCAACACGCCCACCCGGCCAGGACGGCCCCACAGCGCAGTGCACATCAGGACAAGACCCTCAAGCCCAGCAGTGTCTGGGCCACTCGTGGGCACCAGGCAGTGGGCGCTGCTCATTGGAAACCCTGGATAAAAACACTCAGCAGCAGGAGGAAGAGTCAAATCCGGGCTGATGGGACTGCAGGACGCTAGGCGTGGCTGTCATGAAATAAGCTCGTTGGTCTCCACCCAGCGCCCATCCGCGCAGGTGTGGCCAGCACAAAGCACGCAGAGGGCCCCGAAAGCCTCCAAAACCTTTAATACCGAGGTGTGGATGCTCTCCACACGGAAAAGGGTTTCTCTACCCCTTGGGGCCAAGCTCGAGTGCCAGGCACCGAAAGTGTTTCCCGCAGATGCCCCTGGCCACTCAACCAGCCAGCCCGGGGCCTGTCCACAGGGTCGCCCTTACCGCAGCTCCAGGGGGTCCAGGGCGCCACGGATTCTGCCCTTCTGGCCAATAGCATCTCCTCCAGTTGCAGGGAGCCCCAGATAGGGTCCGTGTGTGAGCTGGAAAACACAGGTGCATTCGTGGCAGGGCCAGGCCCGTGGAGGAGGTGGTTGGCAGGGAAATCTGGGGGACAGCTCCTCACTGAGCAGGAACCTGGGTTCCCGTGGCCTGGAGCAGCTCTCAGACCCTCAACAGTGTGCCCAGGGTGGGACCTGCTGGCCAAAAGCCTGGTTGGGGAAGGGCCTGAGGCCTGGGGTCCAGGAGGCAGGGATGAGCGGGAGGCAGGGGTGAGCAGGTGGCAGGGGCGAGGGGGTGGTGAAGGCGTGAGTGGGTGGCAGGGGTGAGTTAGTGGCAGGGGCAAGAGGGAGGGGTCTGAGCATGTGTCCCAGCATGGCAGCATGAGCCAGGGCTGCCAGCCCTCATCTGCAAAGCATTCGTGCCAAGCCCGGCTGCTCGGGGCTCTACACTCAGTCCCCAGAGGGAGCAGAGGTGTGGACGGGTCAGCTACCAAGGCCACCATCAGGCCCCAGGGCGAAGATCAGAGTCTCTGAGGCCAGCGTGCTCATCAAGACCACCTTGGCCATCTCCTGAGGGCACTGCCTGCCAGGCCCACAGCAGAACGGGGTCCGGCATCAGCTTTGGCCCTCACCCCACTACTCAAGGCTGGCGTTGGAGGCTGCAGGGTGACCTATCTGGAGAGCACCTGGGGCTGTGGCCACTAAGGTGGGCACAGCTGGACCCACACATCTGCCCCTACACAGGCCAGCCAGCACACAAGGCTAACAGAGCTAGGAGTCAGGCGTGGCTGCCAGCCTTTCCCCAGTCAGTGGCTAAGTGGTAAGGGAGAGCGGCCAGGTGTGGGCCGGCAGCGCTGCTGGGGTGAGGGGACTTTGGGGTGCACAGAAAGATGGGCGTGTGGGCGGGGCATGTGCTGAGCCTGCGTCCTAGAGCATGACCAGTCTGACTGCACGCTTCTCATCAGGGCCTTGTCTGTGCTTCCTGGTACACAGGGACCTAGAACCCACTGGATGGATGAAGATGCTGCCCACACCTGTGGCCCAGGGGTTGTGGGAGGGGGACATACCCACCCCCAGCAGCCCACAGGTGTTTGTCTCATACCTGCTGTGGGCAGGAGCTGTGCGGGGCCGGTGATAGCAATGACCCCCCCAACCCAGCCCCACCCACATTCCCGGTGCTGCAGGGGAGCTGGACGTGTGCCCAGGCCATGAGGGGCTGCATGGCACCTGGGAGCACAGGCCTGGCAAAGAGTGTTCCGGAACCCGGGCTGGGTGGCTGGAAGCGCCTCAACCACTGATCGCTTACGGGACAGAGAGCAAGGACCCACCCCCGACTCAGAAATCAGTCTGAGGCCCACACAGTGGCTCACACCTATAATCCCAGCACTTTGGGAGGCCAAGGTGGGTGGATCACAAGGTCAGGAGTTCAAGACCAGCCTGGCCAACATGGTGAAAATACCCCTTTTCTACTAAAAATTCAAAAATTAGCTGGGTGTGGTGGTGTGCACCTGTAGTCTCAGCTACTCGGGAGGCTGAGGCAGGGGAATCGCTTGAACCCGGGAGGTGGAGGTTGCAGTGAGCTGAAATTGCTCCCTTGCACTCCAGCCTAGGCAACAGAGCAAGACTCCATCTCAAAAATAAAGAAAAAGAAAAAAAACCAGTCTGAGAGGCGGCTGGGATCTGGGGCACCTGGGAGGCTCAGCGTGGAGACTCTCGAGGGGGCTGCAGGTGGAATGAGCAGAGGCTGTGTGAGCCTCTCCTGAAACTCCAGCCTGTCAGATGGTGCGTGGCAATGGCTGTTTCAGAAGAAACAGGCCAGGCCCCTTTCCTGGCTGCCTGAACAGGGGCAGAAGCTTTGGAGGCCCTAGCGAGCCTCTGAGCCTCTCCCTAATCCCTGCTCTCCACCAGCCTGGGTCCCTCCAGGCCATAGTTCATGAATATGATTCTGCCTCCTGCTGCCTCTCCACCGCCTTGGCAGGGCTGAGCGGCGGAGGGTGCAGCCCAGTGCCTGGCTCTGGTGGGAACGTTGGTGCCAGTGCCACAGGGCACCAGGGTCTCACCTTGGCTTCTCTGGCTGGACCTAGGCTGGGCCAGGAACATGGAGACCTAAGCCTCGGTCTGCCCTTGGAGGCAGATCTAGCTGGTCCCCCAGGAGCCCGAGGCACTGAAATTAACCTCTCCAAAAATTTCCACACACCCCCACATTTCTCAAGCACCACCCCCACCCCCTCTCAAGGGCTGGACAAAATGCAGGTGGCAGAGGTGAGGGCTGGCCCGATGCTCCCTCTTCTGGTGGCAGTGACTCAGTTCCACAGGCTGGGCTGGGCCTGGGCAGTGGGTGGGATCAGGGTCAAGATGGAGTACAACTCAAAGGCCCTGGCACAGGCACCAAGCCCACCATCCCTGAGGTCAAGGGGGTCTTCAGGAGAGGAAGCTGGTGGGGTTTCCTCAGAAGGATGGGCCAGGAAATGTCCCAGCTGAAGGAGAGGAGGGGAGGGGAGGAGAGGGGTGGGGAAGGGAGGGAAGGGCGAGCTTGGGGAGGGGCATCTCCGGGGCATCCCCTTCCCCGATGTGTGAACTCTGAGCCACAGTCCCTCTGCCTGCGATGCCCACTACCATTCCAGTGCTATGCATGGCATCTGCCCTCACACCCTCAGCCACCCAGCAGAGGACAGCTTGGTGGAGGTGGGTGGTGTGACGCAGGCCCTGGGGTCCGGGGAGCCAACGTTTCAGTGTCCCTGGTGGACCTGGTCACATGCTGAGGAGGCAGAGGCCTTCCTGAGAGACGGCTGCCAGCCTGGCCTCCTGCCCACCCCGCCCACAGTGCTGAATTTTAGAGCTTGGGTTCCTGGACTGCCTGGGGAGCTGCTGCTCAGGCTGAGCTGGGGTCCCCCACCCAGGGCGCTTCCGTCAAGGTCAAGGACAGAGGGGTGAGAGTGACCAGGAGTGACCCAAGAATGCCTGGCAGCACATGGTGTGCAGGGAGCCGTGGGGATTGGGAGGCAAAGCTGGCCCGGAGGCCCTGGATCCCAGCCCACCCCAGCAAGAGCCAGAGGTTGGCCAGGCAGGTGGGCTCAGAGGAAGATTTTTGGCAGGGGTGGGGAGTTTTTCAGGAAGGGAGATCCAGAAGTGTTCAAAATCCCCAGGAGGGACTGGAGACCATGGCTGCTGCCAAGGAGGCTCAGGTGCTCCAGAGGCTCAGGTAGTACAGCCTCCATCACGAGTATCTAATTCACTTGCCACCTGCGAAGGCCCCATGGACTGAGCCTGCTGGGCTCCGCTTCAGCCTGGGGCTCACTGGGTGGGGCTGCAGGCGCTGGGGTAGGACAGTTGCTTCCCCAGGAGAAGGGAGTTGGGGCCGAGAGGGGCCTGGGGTGCGGGATGGGCACAGTGTCCCTGGGAAGGGGCTTCAGATGCATCTATGTGACGTGACCCCAGAGAGGCTGAAGCCCGAGCTGGGGATGGGAGCCAGGAAGGGTGTGAGGCTCTGTGGACAGGGGCCCTGAGAGCTCAGGTGGCGGCTGGGATGGCAAGGAGCACCCGACTCACTGCCCCTGCACTCAGCCTGGAGCAGCAGATGAGAGGGAGCTGCGGCAACAGCATCCCTGAGGCCCGCCGTTTGTGGGGAAGCAAGCCTGACATGGGGCTTTGCTGCCCCAGCCAGTTTCCAAGCCAGCACCACCCTGACCGCAGCCTCTAGACCAGCATAATGGGGACACACAGGGGTGACATGAGAGGCAGCCCTTGAGCACAGGTGGCAGGTGGGCTTACCTCCCCACAGAGGTGCCGAGAGCCTGGAAGCGGGCCACGCCTCTCTGCAGCCTTTTGTCCGGTTTCATGTCCACAAGTCCCTCCTCTGGGAAACCTTGGAGAAGAGGACACCTAGCTGCACTCCCTGGTCAGCCAGGAGCACGGGATGGGGCACCCAAGCCATCCACAGTGGGAGAGCCGGGGCCACACCTGACATGGGTTGGGGGTGTGGGAGCCTCTCTTGCCCTCAGGCCTCTCTGCTGGAGGAAGGGCAGGGAGGTGGAGGGAAGGAGCCACTAGAGCAGCTTCACCCTTCCTCTTGCCAGAGGACAAGACAGGGGCAACAGCTGTTGCAGGTGCCATGCACCATGCAAGGGAGCCCATGCCCATGCACACCATGCACCATGAGAGAGAGCTCACGCAAACCACGCGCCACGGGAGAGAGCCCACGCACACCACGCACCACAGGAGAGAGCCCATGTACACCATGCACCATGGGAGAGCACACACACCATCCACAGGAGAGAGCCCATGCATGCCACATGGGAGGGCCCAGGCACAATGTGCTGCTCAGATTCCCTGGACAACCCCTGACTGTTGTCCTCCTATCCCCACTTCCAGGAAGAAAACCAAGGCTCAGAGAGAAAATGGGGCCCCCATTCCTCCCAGCCCACAGGAACCCCTGGCCACCCAGCGGTCACCATGGCCCAGGTGCTGGCTTACCTTGGGGCTTGCTCTTGTGGTGGGCCCTTGGGCTCATGCTCTGCTGTTGCTCCCAGCTGGGGCCCCACGGCAGTGTCTCGCCATCCAGGAAGCAGGTGGCAGGGAGAAGGGGCTGGGCCTGCACACTGGCCCAGTCCCTGGGCGCCCCTCTGCCCCCGTTGGGCCTCAAGCTTCCAGGGCAGGCTGGGGCATCAAGCTTGGGGGTGGCAGGCAGGGTGTAGGGCCATGAGCGTGGCAGGCCCAAGGCTGGGTCCCCAACCGTGTCCAGTGCTTCAGCACCCTGCAGCTTGGTGGTGAGGTTGTCGACCCGCTGCTTGAGGACTCTGGCCCTGGTCTCTAGCGCCTGCAGCCATGCCTGCTTATGCTGGAGGTGCAGGGGGCTGGAAGTGCCCAGGTGCTTGGCCTCCTTCCGGTCCAGGTAGATGCACAGCCCCTGGGGGGCACCCTGGCCATCTTGGGGCCCCCCTGTCCCTGGGGGCTCTAGGGTCTCAGCACAGTTCCAGGCTCTGTTCAAACACAGGCAGAAGCTGCAGGGAGAGAGGCATGGACAGGTCAGCCCGGGCTGGCCCCAGCAGGGTGCGCAAAGCAGGCAAGTTCAGGGGTGAGCATTGCAGCAGCATCTGTGACCGACCCAGTGTCTGTCCACAAGGACCAGGGAATCGGTGATGGTATCCACACAATGAACCATGCAGCTGCTGCAAGGAACAGAGCCAGGTGTGGGCGAGGGTACAGAGGAACTGGATCCTGAGCACTGCTGGTGGAAGTGTAAGACGGTGCAGCGACGGGCAGTTTGGTGATTTCTCAAGAAGTCAAATATAAGACTGGTTGAGGTGGCTTAAGCCTGCAATCTCAGCACTTTGGGAGGCTGAGGTGGGCAGATCACAAGGTCAGGAGATCAAGACCATCTGGATAACGTGGTAAAACCCCATCTCTACTAAAAACACAAAAAATTAGCTGGGCACAGTGGCAGGCACCTTGTAGTCTCAGCTACTTGGGAGGCTGAGGCAGGAGAATCGCTTGAACCCAGGAGGCAAGGGTTGCAATGAGCCAAGATCGCACCACTGCACTCCAGCTGGGGCAACAGAGCAAGACTCCATCTCAAAAATAAAAAAAAAGGAAGTCAAACACAGAACCCCCATGGGTCTGGCACTTCCACCTCTGGCCATGTACCCAGAAGAGCTGAAGTCAGAGTCTCAAAGAGATACTGGCACACCCATGTTTGCATCAGCTTTATTCCCAACAGCCAAAAGGTGGAAGCCACCCAGTGTCCATGAAGGGACAAATGGAGGAGTGAAATGAGGTCCACTGACAGGGGCATAGTATTGAGCCTTGAAAAGGAAAGCAGGCCTGACACAGGCGACCACATTGCCCTTGGTAGAATGAGTCAGGCACAAAGTGAAACTGGCCCAATGGTCCCCTGGAACTTGTGTTATGGTTTCTTTTGAATAAACATAGAAATGAGCCCTGCTGGTTTTAACACATGAGAAAGTTTCGTTTGTCTTATCTGAGTTCCTTTCTCAGGAAACCTACCATCAGGCCTCCCAGACAGAGTCAAGGAGCTGAAATGAACCAGATCACCAGGTCTGGACAAGGAGACACCAGTGCCCTCTTGGTCCTGCTTGCTTCTTTATCCCTCCCTAGTGCCTGTTTCCTGCATGGAGCTACATTCCTTCCCTGAGAGGCAATCCCCCACCTTTAGTTAGGGAGTTGGATTTGAGACTAAGCCCCCATCCCCTTGGCGATGTCTCTGTGATGGGACTTCTGTGTGGCAGGAGCAGGACTGAAACCAAACCCCTGGTGTTTCAGTAATGAAAAGAACAAATGAAGTGTGTTTCCACTCCTGTGGGAGCCCTGGGACAGGCAAGTCCATCGAGACAGGAAGGAGAATGGCGACTGCCAAGGGCTGGGAGGAGATGGAGAGTCAGTGTTTTATGGAGAGGGTCAGCTGGGAAGATGAAGAGTTCTTGAGAGAATAGAGATGAGGTCTCACTGTGTTGTCCAGGCTGGTCTCAAACCCCTGGCCCCAAGTGATCCTCCCGCCTCAGCCTCCCAAAGTGCTGGGATTACAGGTGTGAGCCACCGAGCCTGGCTACAATGTTTTAGGTGGGAAAAAAAAGACAAGGCTGCAATGAAGAGCAATGAGGCCCTGCAGCCACTCGAGATTCAAGGCCTGAGCTCACCAGCATCCTGTCATGCAAACAGAGCCCGGCGGTGGGCACCAGGGGAGGGGCTGCCCTTGGGGCAGGCGTGGCACAGCAGGGCCAATGTGGGATGCTCACTCGGCGGCACACTCAGGCCCTGTGTTTTCATCTCACTAGACAATGACAGGCGCTGCCTCTGAGCTGACCCAGACTCTCGGGGACTGATTCCCAAACGAGCGCTTTCAAGACCAAATGGACCCAAAAGCAGCCAGAGAGAGGGGTTGGGTCTTGCAGAGAGGGTGGGTGCTGAGCTCCTGGGGCCAGCCTGAGCCCCCAACATCAGCCTCGAAAGCTGCGCCATGGGCAGCCCCGAGGGAGTTCAGGGTGGGGCATTCCTGGCGGTTGGGATCCCCCCTCCGGGCCTCTGAGCCGGCTCCCCCTGCCTGCCGGAACCGAGGGCACGCAGGACGCCTGGCCATGAGTTCCTTACAGGTGCCCAGTGTGAGGCCAGACCAGAGAGTGTTTACCACCAGCCTGAAGCTGGGGCCATCCACAGCCCTTCCCAGGCAAGAGACAGGCTGGAAACTCGCACCTGCAGTGAGACCCAGGCTCAACTCCCACAAGCAAATGAGGGGCAGTCTTCAGACCCCACATGTGTGATTCACGATGTCCCCGGGAAGGGGTCTCCAGAAATTAAAATACATGGTAGTTAAAGCAAAACAGAAACACAGAAAAGAACGGAAAAGTCAGCACAGTGAGGAAGCAGGGAGAACGGGACCCTGGCACTGTCGGGGGATGGGAACCCAGGTGGCTGCTGTGGAGAACAGGGTGCCAGTCTCCGAGAAAGCTGTACACAGTATGCCTGCGCCGATGCCACTCACTCCCAGGCGTGGACCAAGAGACACAGTGCAGCAGTGGCTGAAGCAGGTGCGTGTGCCCGGTTCAGGGCAGCCACAGGTGGGGCAGCCAGGCACCCATCAGCCACGAGGCTGTGAAGACAAGGTCACCTGCCCACAGGGGGCATTATTCAGCCACGGACTCAATGAGCTCAAGCTGCAACACAGATAAGCCTGGAAAACCTCGTGCTCAGCGAGAGAAGCCAGACCTGAGCCAGTGATCCCATTTAGATAAAGTGTCAAGAATAGGCAAATCTGGGGGCGGGCAGTAGCTTACACCTGTCATCCCAGCACTTTGGGAGGCCGAGGCGGGCAGATTACCTGAGGTTGGGAGTTCGAGACCAGCCTGGCCAACATGGGGAAACCTCATCTCTACTAAAAATACAATAATTAACATGCCTATAATCCGAGCTACTCTGGAGGCTGAGGCAGGAGAATTGCTTGAACCCAGGAGGTGGAGGTTGCAGTGAGCCAAGATTGCACCATTGCATTCCAGCCTGGGCAAAAGAGCAAAACTCCATCTCAAAAAAAAAAAAGAACAGGTGAATCCATCAAGGCAGAAAGGAGACTGGTGACCCCGGGGGCTGGGAGAGGGGCTGCCTCCTGAGGGTGGGGCTCATGGGGGATGGAACGTTCTGGAACGCAGTGGAAGTGGTGGTTGCGCACACACGGTGAGGGTGTTAAATGCCGTGGAATGTGTACTTTAACATGGTGGATTTAAGTTTGACATGACTCTGGCTTCAATGAGAACCTGCTCCAAGCAGCTGGGTGGCACTGAGGGTGGGGGTGGCCAGAGCCCATCCAATCTGAGGAGCCTCTTGGTGATGAGGCAATGAATCGAGGCCCCAGAATATACCCAGAACTGTCTTCAGCCCGGCGCAGCTCACCCACAGCCCTACCCAGCACATACAGTGCCGGTACTTTCGCACCCACCTGCCTGGGGCTTCCTGGCCCCCCAGCACCACGCCAGAGGTCACCTTGCTCCACTGCAGCACGGGTGACTCCAGGCTCCCGGAGGCTTCCAGATCCTAGCATAGGGGCAGTGCCATCAGAGCCTCCGGCAGAAGGACCACATGCCCTGGCCTCAGCCTCAGAGCTGGGCCCTGACCTCCTCTGGGGGTGCCCAGGCTGCTTCCCCAGAGCCTTGCAGGAATCGGGGGTCCCACTTCAGGGGCTGTGAGAGGCAAGGGAGTCCATCCCCCAGGAGCCCCATCGTACCCAGGGGCAAAGGCTCCCAGGTCTCACCCTGTGCCTCACCAGAGCCTACCGGGGGTATCCACGGACACCCTCCCTTTATACAGGCAGTGTTAGCAATGACACACAGCCCCCAGGACCCGGCTGCAGCCCTCACCTGCCCACTCCCTGGAGGGCACCGGGGGCACCTGAACCTCCAGCCCCTGGCTGAGCTGAGTCCCCGCAACCCACCCTCAGCACGTACCCCAGACTGTGCAGAACTGGGGACAAAGGTCACGATGCCAGGGGTGGTCAGGGAGACCACGGGGACCTCGGTGCCAAGGACAGCCTCCCTCTGCTGCCTATAGACCTCCTGCAGCCTCTGGCTCCTCAGCTCCCGGGCTCGCAGGGCCGCCGCCTTCTCCTCCAGGGCCTGCCACCGCAGCGCCTGCACCTTCTGGCGCATGAACTCCCGCAGGGACTTGGGGCTGTGTCCCAGGAGCCCCCGGGGCCTGGGGCAGGGCCGCGGCGCATCCTTCTCCTTCCCAGGTGGGCTCTGAGGGAAGCTCCCGGTGGGCCTTGGCAGGGCATGCTTGGCACCTGAGGCAGGAGAGCCAATGCCTCTTCCCTGGGCCAGGGGGCCGGCCCTCTGCACGCAGGAGCTGCTCCAGGGGCACTGGGCTGGAGGACTGGGCCTTTCCAGAGGGTTCCATAGACTGGGGATTGGGGCCTCCTGGTCTTCACAAGCAGTCCAGGCCCTCCGAGGACAGGGCCACGTGGCCACAGCACTCCAGGGCTGCCGGGGGGAGGGGCTCAGCTTTTCAGGGGGGCTCCCGGGCCTCTGGGAGGCAGGGCCCTGTCTTTGGGCCCCCCAGACCCTCTGTGGACTGCAGGCCTGCCCTGCCAACGTACTCAAGGGCCGCCGGGAGAAGTGGCCCAACCTCTCACAGGGACTCTCTGGCCTCTGGAAGGAGCGGTCCTGTTTTGGGGCCCTCCAGGCCCCCTGCGGGCAGGATTCCCATTCAGTGGAGAAGCTCCGGGGCTGCCAGGAGTGGAAACTCCTAGCCCCCACTAAAGAGGAATGCTTCCCCTCCGTCATGGCCCAGGTTCTCTTAGAGAAGGAGCTGTGTGCACCCGGGTCCCTGCAGGGGCCCTTGCCTGCCACGTCCTGCGGCCTCTGCTTTGACAGCCCAAGCTCTCGGCCTCCCTCCCGGCTCTGGGCCAGTTCCAGCCCAGCCTGGATTTGCTGGCGCAGGTCTTGTAGGATGGCCATGGCCGTCTGGATGGTCGCCGGCTGGTCAAAGGAAGCCAGGCTGGGTGTGTTCCCAGACGCCCGCTGGTCACTGTGGGCAGAGGTGGCACTGGGCCGCTGGGCACAGACAGGCGAGCGATTGGTAGCTGTGACTTTCCTGCTGCCTTCTGCAAAGACAGGAGTGTCAGGGGTGAGGAAGGGAGAGCAAAGCTGGCTCTTCCACCAGGCCAGAGGTGAGGAGCGTGGGGAGGTCGAGGAGGCCCTCGGGCCCCTGCCCTTCCAGTTACCCCCGGCCACTATGCCCATCCTCATGGGCAGAAGCCCTCTGAGGGTGGGTGCTGCGCCTGTGTGATGAGTTGTCACTCTGCACATGCTAGCCGAGCACGGGTGGAGGGTGCCTGTGTCTGGGGAGCCCCTGCCAGCTCCCACCCTGCCTTCCTGCCGAGAGAAGGCCTTGGCAGCGTGCCTGCCCTGGGAGCTGGCAAGGGAGCCTCCCGGGGACAGAAACTCTGTTCTCAGGCTTTGAAAACACATATTGCCCGAAGTCCAGTGTGGATGGTGGGTTTGGAGGGTGTTTGCAGGCTGCCGTGAGAGGCGCCGACACCACTTGCTTGCAGACCGCCTGGAGCCTGGGCATCTCCTCCCCTTCCCCGCCCCCCAGATGCCACAGCAGAGCAGGGCAGAGCCCGTGGCAAAGACACAAGTACCTAAGTCCGCAGCAAGAGCCAGGTCTCTGCAGGGGGCCTTGCTCTGGAACCGGCGGAGGGTGGGAGGGGGCCCAAGTAGCGACCTCACCAGAGCTTGTCCCTTCCTCCAGGCGTACATGCCAGCCAGCTCCAAATCTTAAAGAGAGAAAACACACACACAGCCAGGCTTACCACGACCCTCTGGGCACTGGCCCAGGCAGGGAGGTTGGTAGCTCTGTGCAGCCCCAGAGGCCTCAGCCTCCCAGAGGGCACACTCCCAAAGGGCACAGCAGGGGAGGGGGGAAATCCCTCATGTCCAGGTCCCTGTTGGGCAGAGTGGGACCCTCAGCCAGTACAGGGCAAGGCTGAGTCTCAGGGCAGCCACAAGTGGCTTCCCTGACCCTCAGAGTCCTCTTCAGGAAAGCCGGGAGAACAGAGCCTGCCCCCACAGCTTTGCTGGCAAAGCTCTCAGCACAGGCCAGGCCTGCAGGGCATTCGAAAGAAACGGGAGCAGCAGCAGCCACAGGAGTGACAACACCCACCCTCGGCTCCTCGGCCAGGCTCCTCACTAAGCATGGGAGGTCCCATTGCTGTGGGCCACGTGAGTCAAGCCACAGGAGATTCATCCGCTTTCAAGCCAGCAGAGTCAGTGGTCACACAGGTGGGCAGCAGTGAAGGCTCCCGGCCAGCAGGACAGGGGGGTCCTGGTCATTGCAGCCACAAACAGCCCCACATCCCGAATACAGGTGAGCCTTCACCCACAAACGCCATCACACGGCGAGCACCGATCATCAAGGTGGCACTTCCTAGCCCAGCTCACCATCACCTGTGTCAACACCAGACCCACCAGACCCACAGGCCCCCCACCGAGGGCCCCAGCAAAGGTTGAAGCAGGGTGGGCCCTGACTCACACGCTCTCATACTCACAAGCACTCACATGCTCACACACTCTCGTGCTCTCACACATGCTCACACATGCTCTCACACATGCTCACACATGCTCTCACACACACACACACTCACACACGTTCTCACATACATGCTCACACGTGCTCTCACACAGGTGCTTACACGTACTCACAACTCCCTCATGTATTCACAGGCTCACACTCACATGCCATCACATACACTTACACACATGCTCACACACACACATGCTCACAACTCCCTCACGTGCTCACAGGCTCTCACACTCACAGATATGCTATCCTACACCTTCACACTCACATGCTCACAGGCTCACACACACACTCAAATGCTGGCAGGCACTGGCACACTCACTCTCATGCTCACACACTGTCACATGCTCTCACATGTGCTGTCATATATGTGCACACATTCAGATGCTCTGGCATGCTCACAATTCATGCATTCACACGTGCTCACACATCCGGACACATGCTCACACATGGTCTCATGCTCAAACACTTAGACACACATGCTCTCAACCTGTTCTCACACTCACACATGCTACCAGTCTCATATGCTCTCAGACTCACACACACACACAAGCACATTCACACACACATGCCCTCACGTGCTCTCACAGACATACAAACATACGTGCACACTCATACATACACGCCCTCACATGTACTCTCACATACACACACTCACACGCACACTCACACACACACACACACACGCTGCTTATTCCAGCTGGCTCCACAGGGCCAAGACCACATGTGCTATGGATTGCTGGCCCCTACACCCCTTCCTAAGGCCCAGCCCAGGGTGGTTCCACCACGTGGCCTGGGGTCAAGACCACCATGGAGTATCAGCCAGGGCTCATCCTGTCCCCTAGGAAGGGAGACTTTCTGCCAAATGAGAGTGCCTTGGGCAGGGACCATCCAGAGAGCTGAGCAACCAGGGGCAGGCTCCTGGACTGAGTCAGGGACTTCCCTAGCCCCCCCAGCCACAGCACCCTCCCCGAACTGCCCTGCCCCCTGGCCATCAGCCACATGCTTGAAGCTACCTCTCCAGAAGGTGAATGGGCTGTGCAGTCACCCCCACCAGGCCATGCCCTCCCAGAGCCACATCCCCAAGGACAGGCTCCCCACGGCCATGCTCTTTTCAAGACAGGACCCCAGGCCACACCTCACACCCATGCCCACTTTAGGGTAGGACCCCCTTAAGGCTGTACCCTGTCTAGGACAGGACCGCAAGGTAGAGAAAGGTTTAGGGCGTGGTCTCAGGAGTCCCAGAGCTGGGTTGAAGTCTGGCCCTGCCACTCACCAGCCATGGGCCTCAGGCAAGTGATGTAACTTATCTATGCCTCAGTTTCCCCCTCTGTAAAATGGAGTGCATATCTCACAGCACCTCCCACAGGGCCACATGGATGAAAAGGTAGCAACGATCATTGTGGGAGTTGGGCCTGGAAGGAGGTCAGGATTCTGCTGGCTTAGGGTGGTGTCAAAGGCTGGAGCTGAGGCCAGCGTGACCCAACTGCCCACAGCTAAGTTTCAGGGTGGGGGCCCCAGTGTGGAGGGAGCCCTGGTGAGGTTTCTCCATCCTAGTCCCTATAGCTGCTTCCCCACACAGTCAGCCGGGCTCCCTTGCTGGGGTGCTGGGCCAGGGACCCGCCTGCCCACCTGCCCGCCTGGCCCTTCCATCGCTGGCCACTTGCTTCCCCATTAGCCCGCCAGAGGGTCCCACTCGATAAATGGGTCCTGGTGGGCACATTTTTTCTTCCACTGAGCAGTTTAACGGCAATTAATTTTTTTACGAGAGGATTTTTAATCTGTGGAAATGGATGAAGTCCCCAAGTGCCCTGTCACAGTTCCGGGCTGGCCTAATCTATGATAAAAAATGCAGAGTGAGGTGAGATAATCTGAAATTAAATATCGGGCTCATTTTCCTTTGGCCCGGATGGATGAATATTTTATAACTATTGTGATTTAATTTTTTGTTAACTACAGCAAATTTCTAATTCATCCAATTCCCAAGTCCTGCAGCTCTGACCTCTGAACCGAAACTCATCTCTCCTTGGCCCAGCTGTGACTTTGTCACTGACAGAAACTAATGGTCAGCACTGTCAGGGTGACACGCTGCTTACGATGATGAATGTGGCCGGTGGCACGGCCTCTGACCCAGTGTCAGGCACGAAGCAGGTCATTTTTCAAGTGAGCCGTGAAAATAAAACAAACCAAAGACCTGGGGGAGGGAGGGGATGAGCACGCCGAAAATTATTATATTTACGCATGTTTCCTCAGCCTTCCAGAGCCTTCTTGGTGCCTGGGTCCCCTGGTCTCCTTCCCCTCCTGCATGTCCTCTGGCCCCGCCAAATGCACACGGTGGCCCTGCAGCCCTGCTGAGCTCCCACCTCACCCTCGAGTCCTCCCTGGGCGTGGGCACAGAGCCATTTGCTCTCAGCTGGAAGCTGCCGCTCTGCCTGAGAGCAGAGGAGCCAGTGTCTGATGACTCCAGACAGACGCTCAGCACCTGGGCACAGACAGAGCACACGCCATGCGGTGCCCCTCCCCACGGTCCCAGGGCTGTGATTGCTCGCAGTGTGGGGAAAGAGGCATGGAGCTTCACGGGAGTGGCCACGAGCTGGCGCTGCTCACACTTAGGATAAGGGTCCCACAGAGCCAATCTCAGCACCTGGGGGCTCTCGCTGGTGTTCCCGGCCCCCGTGGTTCAGTGGCCCAGGACCTAAGCCTGGAGGGCGGCCTGGCAAGCTGCCCACCCTCCGCCCCAGGTGCACACGGCCAGCCTCCCAGGTTACGAGCGCCAGCCTCGGGCTGGACGGGCGGGAAGCTCTGCCTCTGTGTGGTCCGGGCAGGCCGTGGAACCTCTGTGAACCTCAGTTGTCTCATCTACAGAATGGGAGCAAGACTGCCTACCTCAGCAGGGAACCAGGAGGCTTCAGTGAGCCCACGGAGTGTGGGCGCTGGCCACGCCACTCCTCTGACATTGAAGACGCCCCAGAGGGAAGCCCCGGAGGGATGCTGCCTGCCACCCGCCCCCCCCGCCCTGAAACCCTACTGAAGGGCAAGGGTGGCTCTCAGGTTTGCCCTGCCAGCTCCAAAACCCATGCCCAGGCTAGGCCGCTGGGTCTCTGCAGGGCACTGACACCCCTGCCCGGTCCTCAGGGAGGAGATGCCTGGATTAGAAATTCCTCTGACCACTGGGATCCACCCACAGCATTGCCTGACTGCACTCTCCAGGAAACACTAATGAAATTAAGCGCAAAGCAAGAAGCGTATGGTTGACTCGCACCCCCATGCACCTGCATGGAGTCCCCAAGCTACTGTAGAGAGTGGGGTCTGCGGAAGACCCTTTCCCATCCCCAAGTGTGCAGTTGGAAGGAGATGTCCTGGGCTTGCTTATTAAATGCGGCCTCATGACAAAGCAAGCAAGCACGGCTCCCTCAGCCAAGCGCGCCCTGAGCTGCCCACCACACGAACATCCATGCCAGTATCTGTTACTGCTCTGGAGAACTGTGGGCTGCGGGTGCCCTGAGCTGCGGGTGCTGTGATCTGTGGGTACTCTGAGCCGTGGGTGCCGTGAACTGTGGGTGCCCTGAGCTGCAGGTGCTGGGATTTGTGGGTGCCCTGAGCTGTGGGTGCTGTGATCTGTGGGTACTCTGAGCTGTGGATGCCCTGAGCTGTGGGTGCTGTGATCTGTGGGTACTCTGAGATGTGGGTGCCGTGAGCTGTGGGTGCCCTGAGCTGTGGGTGCCGTGAGCTGTGGGTGCCCTGAGCTGTGGGTGCCGGGAGCTGCAGGTGCCATGAGTTGTGGGTGCCCTGAGCTGCGGGTGCTGTGATCTGTGGGTATTCTGAGCTGTGGGTGCCCTGAGCTGTGCGTGCTGTGATCTGTGGGTACTCTGAGCTGTGGGTGCCGTGAGCTGTCGGTGCCCAGAGCTGTGGGTGCCCTGAGCTGTGGGTGCCCTGAGCTGTGGATGCCAGGAGCTGCGGGTGCCATGAGTTGTGGGTGCCCTGAGCTGCGGGTGCCGTGAGTTGTGGGTGTCATGAGCTGTGGGTGCCAGGAGCTGTGGGTGTCCTGAGCTGTGGGCTACGGGTGCTGTGAGCTGCAGGTGCCAGAAGCTCTGAGTGCCATGCACTGCAAGTGACATGAGCTGTGGGTGCCGTGAGTTTCAGGTGCCCTGAGCTGTGGGTGATGGGAACTGTGGGTGCCCTGAGTTGTGGGTGCTGGGAGCTGTCGGTGCCATGCGCTGCAAGTGACATGAGCTGTGGGTGCCATGAGCTTTGGGTGCCCTGAGCTGTGGGTGCCGTGAGCTGTGGGTGCCCTGAACTGCAGGTCCCGTGAGCTTCGGGTACTGTGAGCTGCTGGTGTGTGCTACACTGTGGTTGAACAGCTCTGTTTTCTTACAGACTCTCCCAGCTTCCCGGTTTTGAGAGGACAATAGTGCCTGATGTTTTGTGGACTTTCACTTTTTCTCAAGGGACACGCCCCTGCCGGGACAGGAACCACCTGCTGCTCCAGAGGTGGCCAAGGTCGCCAGTTGCCTGGGACACGGGTCCTGACGCTCCCGCCAGGCCTGACGATCCCAGGTGCCCTGAGGAAGCCTGTGCACACGGCAGTCCAGCTGGCCAGCCCCAGAAATGAAAGCCGTCTGCCTACATAGTGTGCCAGGGTTATACATGCCCTTCCCCAAGCCCTGCCAGGGCCCTGAATAGCAAACCTTACCTTTGTCTTTGTCTTTGGCCACTCTTCTAGGGGAGGGCGACTTGGGGGTCTTCTCTCTTTTGCAAGAACTGCTTCTGATCCTTTTGGGTTTTTCCCTTAGAACTTCAGTGAGGAAGAGAAGGGAAGGAAGGGAGAGAAGGAGAGCAGTAAAACCACACACAGGCCCCACCACTCGGCCGCCCTGGGGTCCCGTGCAAGCACAGTCACGAGAGCCATAAACTTGCCGGTCCTACTCCCCGGTCGGCGAGAGCCAGGTTAGGCGGCTAATGCTGAAGACAGGGCACCCGGTCTGACTGTCACATCCCCTGCCAAGAGCCAGGGTAGGTGGCTAACGCTGAGGACAGGGCACCCGGTCTGACTGTCACGTCCCCTGCAGAGCTCTCCCTGGGGATTGGCACGGGGCACTCCTCCCTAGAGAGCCGGGCACGCCTACTCAAATTCTCTCCTGGGTGTGTGGTGGCCTCCCCTCCTGGCCCAGAGGTTCTGAAGACAGTTTCTAATCTCTGAATCCAGCGCCCAGCTGGGGGCTGGGCCATGGGCACTCAGGACTATTCTCTGAGTGAAGGAATGACTGGACAGGACAGGCCCCAAGTGAATGCACAGAGTAGCAGCGTCCAGACTGAACATCTCTGAAGCCAGAGGCAGGAGGAGGGAGGGCAAGACCTGGAGGGACTTTGGCACCGCGGGTGGACCCTTCTGGCTGACAAAGGAGATGGAGAGCCGAGGCGGCAGAGTTTGCTCAAAGTCACACAGCAAGTGCAGCGGCCACCCAGAGGGCTGGCTCCCGAGGCTGCTCTTGCAGTCTCTGCACGGCTGGCGGGGGGCACATCTGGGAAGCCACAGTCTCTGACGGGTCTCCCACAGGTGGGAACCCACAGAGGAGGACCCTGTCCAAAGGCGTCTCTGGGCCTCCAAATGCCACTCGGTCCAGGCCAGGCCTGTCCCTTGGTTTTCCAGGCCCCGACCCTGCTGGCAGGAGGATCCTCAAGAGCCAGGTAGGTCCTCTAAAGGACACAGACTGTGTGACCCCACTCTACGCAGTCACCAGAGTGGCCGGGTCCACAGAGACAGGAAGCAAGAAGACAGGTGCCAGGGCCTAGGGGAGGGGACGGGGAGTCAGTGGGGACAGAACTTCAGCTGGGAAAATGGAAAGTTCTAGAGATGAAGGGTGGCAATGGCTCCACAGCTCTGAGAATGTGCTTAGTGCCACTGAACTGTGCACTTAGAAAAAGGCCCTCCCACTTCAGGAGACCTAGGCAAGCGGATCACGAGGTCGGGTGTTTGAGACCACCAGCCTGGCCAACATAGTGATTTTTAGTCTCTACTAAAAATACCAAAATTAGCCAGGTGTTGTGGTGCACACCTGTAATTCCAGCTACTTGGGAGACTGAGGCAGGAGAGTCACTTGAACCCGGGAGGCAGAGGTTGCAGTGAGCCGAGATCACGTCACTACACTTCATCCTAGGCAACACTGTGAGACTCCGTCTCAAAAAAAAAAAAAAAGAAAAAAAGAAAAAGGCCCTCCTCCATGCCTGCTTCTGGAGAGTTCTCAAACTGGGAGCATGAAAACGAGGATGCCAGGAGCTGGTGACCAATAGGACGGGGTGGCTGAGATCCCTGAGTGACCCACTGCTGGGTCCTGAACTTGACCAGTGGGCCCCAGTGGCCTCCCTGGGCAGGGGCAGGAAGGGTGACCTCCTGGACAAGCTGATGCCATGGGGGTCCCCCTGGAAGGTGGAGGAGGAAGAAACAAGGTGGCCCTGGCCTCGGGCTGAGGCAGAACCAGATCCGGAGGGGCAGGAGTGCCGGGAACTACCGGGCTTGGGGAACCAACCCTGTCCCCTGCTCTCCGAGGGGCCAGCCCTGAAGCCCACCCACATCTGCACTGGCTCACACACCACATGGGAGGGACACCCCCAAATGCGTGCCTGTGGCTGCTGCCCAACCAGACCTCATGGAGAATCCACCAACTCCGCCCCACCCAGCCAGCGCCGCACCGCTGGGAGGGGCAACAACTGTCCCCACGAAAACAAGACACACGTGGTTCCCAAGCCCCCTCCCCCTCCTTCATTCTGGGTCTCAGGAATCTTGTGGTCATCTGCCTCTCTCTGGACTGGAGAGAGCTCCCTGCATCCATATTGCCCCGGCAGCAGACTGAGCCTGCCGAAGCCCAGTTCTCGGCCACTCCCCACCTAGACCTCCGTGGCTCCCATTGTCCGGGAGGAAGGCCACATCCTCCAGCCTCCAGCACCAGCTCCTGCCAGCTCCATCCTCACCCCTCCCGTTTGTCAAGCAAATGAATGAGCAAAAACCTGGTGGGGCCCTTGCTTCTAGCCCAGGAGCTGGCAGGGACCTGGAGGGCTCCAGGCCCACTCCCTGTGGCTGCCATGTAGCCACATAGGAAACCCCTTGCCTATTTTGTACAGGAGTTCTCTTGGAAAAAAACATTTTTAATGCTTCTGCTCAGGTCCCCTGCCCTGCAGGGCCTGCCTGGATTCCGGCCCCACTGGAGAGGCAGAGGCTTAGAACATAGGCTCTGGATAATGGCAGTCTGGCTCCAAATCCCCACTGGGCCTCTTTCCACTTGGGGTCCTCCCTGACCCTCAGTGTCTTTGTCTGTGAATGTGGCCCAGCATGTGCTGCCCACATTATGGCCTGAGCATCTAACCCAGAGCACCAGGGCAGCCACCCACAGAGCCACTCACCAGGAACCTGGTGCTGGGAGGGCCCGGAGAGCTTGTGCCCCTGGCCACAGGATGCCTTGTCTTCAACTCTGCGCTCAGCTGCCCTCAAGATGCTGAAACCTGGAACAGGGTGAAAAGCAGAAGGCAGGGTGAGAAGACATCCACAGAGAATCCCCAAGAGAAGGTGCCAGTTTGGCAGCAGCTCAAGAGCCTTTTTATTTATTTATTCATTTGAGACAGGGCCTCACTCCGTCACCCAAGCTGGAGTGCAGTGGTGTGATCTCAGCTCACTACAACCTCTGCCTCCTGGGTTCAAGTAAGTCTCCTGCCTCAGCCTCCCAAGTAGCTGGGCCTGCAGGTATCCACCATCACAGCTGGCTACTTTTTGTATTTCAAAAGCCTTTTTTTTTTTTTTGGAGGTGGAGTCTCGCTCTGTCACCCAGGCTGGAGTGCAGTGGCGCAATCTCAGCTCACCAAAACCTGTGCCTCCCAGGTTCAAGTGATTCTCCTGCCTCAGCCTCCCGAGTAGCTGGGATGACAGACAGGTGTATTTTTTGTATTTTTAGTAGAGATAGGGTTTCACCATATTGTCGAGGCTGGTCTCAAACTCCTGAACTCAAGTGATCTGCCCACCTCAGCCTTCCAAAGTGCTAGGATTACAGGCTTGCACCACCATGCCTGGCCTCAAAAACCTTTCAATAGCACCTCTGACCGATGGTCCAGGCTGAGAGTGCATCCCATGAGGCCCATCAGGACATGCACCAGTGCTTGGCACAATGCTGGCATCTCGTATAGAGCCGCCTCTGGCCGAGGCTCCACGGAGCCCCCAGGAGTGAGTCAGGACATGCAGGCCCCCAGGCTGTGCACTGAGTGTGGTTTGGAACATGTAGCGCCGGGAAGGAGGTAGCACAGCATGGGCCCCAACTTCTGTTCTTGCAAAGGGACGTCATGGCTTAGGGGGTGCACCCCAAAGTGTTCGCTCAGACAGTCTGGGGGAGGAAGGTACATGGGAAGTTGGAATGATTTTTATTCCATTCTTTGTGCTTATTGTACATCCCCCCGAAAAAAATATGCACTGCCTTAAAAAGCAAAGTCACAAAGGACAAATTCTATGTGATTCCACTGATAGGAGGTCCCCAGAGTCGTCAGACCCACAGACACAGGAAGTAGGCGGGAGGGTCCAGGGCTGGGAGGGGACGGGAGTGAGTGTTTCTCGGAGACAGAGCTTCAGCCTGGGAAGACGGAGCATTCTGGAGGCGGAGGGTGATGGTGGATGCAGGACACTGTGAATGTGCTCAGTGACACTGAACCATGCACTTTAAAATGATTAATATGGTGCATTTTATGTTATGCATATTTTACAATTTTTTTAAAAATCAGAATTATCTTAAAAATAAAGGAGGTGGCCAGGTGCAGTGGCTCACGCCTGTAATCCCAGCACTTTGGGAGGCTAAGAGGCAGGCGGATCACCTGAGGTCAGGAGTTCAAGACCATCCTGGCCAACGTGATGAAACCCTGTCTCTACTAAAAATACAAAAATTAGCCGGGTGCGGTGGTGGGTTCCTGTAATCCCAGCTACTCGGGAGGCTGAGGCAGGAGAATCACTTGAACCTGGGAGGCAGAGGTTGCAATGAACCAACATTGTACCACTGCACTCCAGCCTGGGCGACAGAGCGAGACTCTGTCTCAAAAAAATAAAAAGTAAATTAAAACAATAAAGGAGGAAAAAGTTCCCTGTTTTCTTAGGAAAAGAGTGAAATACCTGGACACCGAGAGAAGCCAAAGGACTGGCTCTCACCGTCATTCCAATCCGGAAGACCTCTCCAGGTTCTTTACTTACCACCCCCACCTGACCCCCACCCCTGACCCTAACCTGCCCCTCATTCCCACCCCCCCGTCCCTGCAGGAGGGAAGCTGCCACTTTCCAAATCTGAGGCTGGCTTTTTAGTGTGCTCCTGACCTTAGTCCCCACAAATCTGACCATGCAGCCCCCCGAGGCTGCAGGGACAAAGGTGCAGACTCCAGGCCCAGGGACCAGGTTCTCTCTCTCAGCCCTGCAGGTCCTCCCTGTGCGTCCCTCCCTCCCAGGTTCTAGTGTCCCCACCACTCCTACCGCCCTCTCCAGGGAAGGATTCTCATCTTGGCCCTGGCTCAGAAGCCCCTTCAGGACCCCAATCCCCACCCCTCCATGACCCCAATCCCCACCCCTCCATGACCCCAATCCCCATCCCTCCATGACCTCAATCCCACCCCTTCAGGACCCCAATCCCACCCCTCCATGACCCCAATCCCACCCCTCCATGACCCCGATCCCACCCCTTCAGGACCCCAATCCCATCCCTTCAGGGCCCTAACCCTACCCCTCCAGGATCCCAATCCCACCCCTCCATGACCCCCAATCCCACCCCTCCATGACCCCAATCCCACCCCTCCATGACCCCCAATCCCACCCCTCCATGACCCCCAATCCCACCCCTCCATGACCCCAATCTCACCCCTTCAGGACCCCAATCCCACCCCTCCATGACCCCAATCCCACCTCTTCAGGACCCCAATCCCACCCTTCCATGACCCCAATCCCACCCCTCCAGGATCCTAAGCCCACCCCTTCAGGACCCCAATCCCACCCCACCAGGACCCCCAATCCCACCCCTTCAGGACCCCAATCCCACCCCTTCAGGACTCCAATCCCACCCCTCCAGGACCCCCAATCCCCACCCCTCTATGACCCCAATCCCACCCCTCCATGACCCCAATCCCCACCCCTCCACGACCCCAATCCCACCCCTTCAGGATCCCAATCCCACCCCTCCATGACCCCAATCCCACCCCTTCAGGACCCTAACCCCACCCTGGGGCAGGCTGCACACACCCGGCTGGCCACCCCCACAGCCCGATCCTGCCCTTTCTCCCCTCTCCCAGCGGCCTGGAGGCCTCCCACCCCTCTCTGGCAAAGCCGCTACTGACCTGAGCATTCAGAGGCTGGAGGGGGGTTTGTTGTCTCTTGGGTCTTCCTCCTAAGTGCCAGCACGGAGGCTCTGTGGAGGCCGGAGGTGCTGGAGGGGTCTGAGGTACCCAGGGACACGCAGCTCCCCTGCCACCGTGCCTGGGCCCGGATCCTGTCTCTCAGCTGCTCCAGCCGAGGGTCACTCTTTCTGGCCTGTCGCCGGGGCCCCAACACCTGGGGTGGCCTCTTCTTCCAGGGCACATGCCCCTCGTGGCCCCCCGAGGAGCCCGAGAGCCGGCCCGATGACACTGAGCTGTCCCCATCCCGGGTGTCTGGGCCTGTGGACCACACAGGCAGGCTGTGGGCCTTCCCCTGGGAGCCTGGCTCCTTGAGGTCATCAGACCCAACAATGTGGGGAGCTGCCCAGGGTGGGTCCAGCTGCCAGGAGGGCCTGGGCCACCTCAGGGCCGACATGTCATCCTTGGCTGCAGGTGCACGGAACCTGGGAGGAAGCAGCAGACACGATGGTCAGGCTCGCAGATGTGCCCAGCAGAGCCGCTCGGACTGGCCCTACCTCCCCGGCATCCCTGCTCCCACAGACTGGAGGCAGAGAGGAGGCAGCAGGAATGCACCCCACCTGGAGGACAGCTGCAGCTGCAGCGTTCTCTCTCGGACCCTGACCACACCCCTCTGAGGCAGGTGATGTGATTGGCCCAATTTACAGATGGAGAAACTGAGTCTCAGAGAGACCAGGCCTCCCACCCAAAGGCAGCGCAGAGGCAGGTGCAGCACTCTGACCCCGTACCCTTGTATCTCGCACAGAGCTGCTACCTCCCGGGGCAGCCATAGAGTCTGGCCACAGTGCAGCCCCTGCCCGAGTGCACGCAGACACTACCTGGGCTTGGCCCCAGCCTCCCAGTAGACTGCACTCCCAGGGGCCCTGTGGGAGAAGGGGCCCTGCCTCGGGCTGTCGTCAGGGCCAGGCTGAGGCATGTCCCCCAGGTGGGTGGGCATGGCCGCAGGGCCGAGGGTGAGCAGGTGCAAGGCCAACCCGACCCGCCCTACCCGGGGTGGCTCATGCCTTCACATGGCAGCTGCCAGGCCTACAGCCCCGCCTACAGCCCTGCCTAGGGTGGGCTGGCCACTGCATAGCTCTGGATGCCTGCCTGTGCCACTCCCCTGGCCCATGATGGAAGCTCTCAGGTGGGTCATTAAAACTGGGCTGGCACGGTGGGCTGCCCGGCCCTGGGCTGCCACAGCTGGGGGCTTCCCAATGAGCTGTCTCCTGGTGGGGCAGAAGAGAGTTCCGGCTGGCCCGTGACAGCATAATAACCTTGTCACTCAGCGACAGAGCCTGGGCCTTCAGCTCCTGCTGGGACTCTGAGCGGCCCTCACCCAGTCCTCCCAGGCCCAGAATGAGATGAAGGGAGGGACTGTGGCCGGGCTGTGCCTGTGGGCTCAGTATTGGGCAGTGTTCCGGTTGGCGGGGGTGGGGCCAAACCCCAGGTCAAGGTCAGGCTTGATTCAGTCCCAGTCACAGAGGTCCCAGTAGCTACTGAGCCCATCCCAGACATTCCAACAGATACACATCAGCCGCCGTCTCTCGGTTCCATGGGGCCAGGCAGGGGAGGGGGAGTTGGCTTGTGGGCTCACCCTGGTGCAAACCAGGGCACCCTTTGCCTGCAGGGATGGTGGCAGAGATGCCAGGTGCTGCCTCAGGCCAGGAGCCCCCGTCAGCCTCCTTGGCCCCTGCACACCTGGGTGGGGCCCTGGCAGGGCAGTCTGGTGGGGAGGACCGGGCCCTGTGGTCCCCGAGGGGTAGCTTGGACTCAGATCCCAGTTCCCTCCCAGCTCCCACCCCACCCCCACTGTCAGTGCCACCTGGGAGCCTGGGAACCCACCCCACTGCCTCTGGGGACTGTGCTCGCCTGGCTGGTGAGTCTACCCCTACGGAGGATGGGTATGGTATGGAGCTGAGGTCAGGCTGTACGCAGATTTGTTCCAGGAGTGGCCCTTAAGGTGTCCCCAGAGAAGAGGGGTCTGCAACAAAAGACCCTGAAAGTCTAGGCAGGCGTGAAGGATGGAGGCCCTCCTCTAGGCTCGCTCCGTGGAACCTGTCCTCGGGAACTGCCGGGCAAACGCCAGAGACACTGCCCAAGCCCAGCCCCACATAGGCCCAGGAAAGTCTCCGAGCCAAACAGGCTGGTCACCAGCAGGCACAGCCACGGGCATCCAGGGCACAGAGGCTGAGCCATCTGCAGCCTCGGAGGGGAAGCAGAGGGGAGCCACCCAAGAACAAGCAGGCCCTGCCCATAATGTGAGGTGCGGCCAGCTCCACCCCCACCCAGTCTGGCCGTACCCTCCTTGCACCAGGGAATGAGCTCATTGCTGCGACGAGGCAGTGACAAGGATGGCCCTCAGGCTGCCAAGCCCTGGGGAGCACATCTGGGATGTTACCAGAAGCTTCAGGGGACACGTGGGGTTACAAGGGGACCCCACCAGCCTCAGAGCCTGGACAGCTCTCAGGCACCCAGAATGCAGCTCCGCTTCCAGCCTCCATCCATTCCCACAGAGCCTCAAGACGCCCAGTGGGGTCGGGGGTGGGGGTCCCTCTGCAGTCTCTATGCCCCTGGGTCATCTGAGTGACTCACAGGCCTGGCCCCTTTGCTGACGGGTCGGCACCTCCCTGCCAGGCCTTCAGGCTCCCAAATCGGCAGTGGTCCTGGGCTCTCAGTCCTACTCCCATAAAGGGACAGGGGCAGGGCCCTCCCAAGCAGAAGAGGCCAGGCTTCGTGGCTCCCTTTTTCCCGTGAGCAGGAAAACCATCCACCCAGCCACCCAGCTGCTCAGCAGCTGCCTAGACTCTCTGGAAGAAGCTGCATCATAAACGCACAGCACAGCCGTGGAAGTGCGGGACTGTGAATGAGAACAAAATCACGACAGCAAACACCTGGGAACAGAAAAGCAAACCCAGCGAGCAGAGCATCAGGAGGTCCTGTGTGTCGCCCCCACTGCCAGCTTCCTTCCTTCTCCTGCCCACCCACCCCGGGGACAGCTGAGCGCCTGCTCCCTTGGCCTGGTCACCAGCTGATGCTTCTGAATCAGGAGATGCACGTCAGCTCCTGAAGGCAGGTCCACCTGTCCAGGACCCTCTACCAATGTTGTCCGTTCCAGGGGGACCCCTCACAGCCCACACCAGCTGGCACCCCTGCCCTGCCCCCAGGAGAATCATGTCTGCTGGGGTATGAGGCTCGGGGCTGCTCTGCATGGGGTGGACAGGAGCAGCAAGGCACCAAGGAGACCCGCTGGGCAGAGGTTGCAGCAGGTCAAGGGGTGTCCCCTGGGCAGGCCAGGTCTGCCCTGTCCCCAGCAACACGGGAGCCCTGCAGCCAGGCCCAGTCAGCCACATCCCCGCCCCACTCCAGACCTAGCTGGATCTATGGTCATTCAGACCCTGCGCCTCGACTCCTGGCCCCTCCGAAGCCCCGCCCACTGTGCTCCAGTCCGGCTCCTTGAGGCACACGCAGCCCCTCTCCTGGGACCTCTGCCACCCCTCCCAGGCCTCCCTCCCTGGGGGACAGTCCCTGGGGGCAGGAGGTAGCCCTGCCCACAGCACACACTGGTGTGCAGATGCTCGTTGCTGGAAGAGCATTCCGAGGCCCCCAGTGCCTCGGCGCCGTGCCAAGAGCTTGATGACTTCTCTGATGCCATCTCAGGGCCATCCCCTGAGAGAAGTACAGGTGCAACCTCCACTTAACGGTGGGGGCGGGGCTCAGCCTAAGTCACGTGTCCAGGGTCCCAGCAGGGTCAGCAGGCCAGGCATGCCATGCCACCCTACACCCTACACATGGCCAGGAAAGAGCGGCAGCCACCTGGGAACCCGGCACCACTCTTCTTGGTGGGAGGGGCCAGGAGGAAAAACCCACAGAAGAGCCACACTCTCCCCTTCCCAGCCACTGTCGGGGCCAGAGGCCAAGAGCCTGATTCCCAGACATGTGGCTGTCTCCAAGGCCAGTGACATTGGCCAGTTGTCCAACCCTCTGGGCTCGAGTTTTCCGTTCTGTAAAGTGGGCAGAGCACCAGCCCCTACTGCTAGGGCTCCTGGGGGTCGGAGGACACTGGGAGGGAGCAGGACCACACCTCTGTCCTCAAAGGGCAGCACAGCCCCAGGAAAGGAAGCCTCGGGTTTCCAGGGCCCAGGACAAGCCTTCCCAGCAGCGCCAGCTCTTGGGTTGAGGATGCCTGGGCACTGTGGGCTCCACACACCCACAAGCACATGCCTTCCCGTGATACACAACACACAGCACATACAGCATATACTACACTCAACACACATAGCACGTACACAGCACAACACATAAAAGTACACACAACACGCATACCACACACAAAGCACACACAAACACACTGCATGCACCACACATAACACACACTATACACACAGCACACACAACACACACAGACATACCACACACCAGACACACCACACCACACACAACACACTCAACACATGCACCACACACACGCAGACAACACAGATCACACAGAGAGACACACAACACACACAACACACAACAGAAACACCACATGCCACACACAATGTACAACATACAAACACAACACACATGCCCCACACACCACACACACCACAAACACAACACACACCATACACACAAAGACACACATCACACACAGACATATCACACACCAGACACATACCACACCACACACAACACATGCATCACACACATGAAGACAATACACATCACACAGAGACACACAACACACAACAGAAACACATGCCACACACAATGTACAACATACACACACAACACACATGCCACACACAACACAAACACAACACACACCATACACACACAGACACACATTATACACAGACATACCATACACCAGATACACCATAACACATTCAATACACACCACACACACACAACATACACAACACAAAACAGAAATACCACATGCCACACACAATGCACAACACACACAACATACATCTCGCACACACCACACACACCATACACACACAGACACACATCACACACAGATAGCAATATGACACATACACCACACACAACATACAGAAACACACACTACACACATCACACAACACACACATACAACACATACTTCAAACATATCACATAACACACACAGACAATACACATCACACACATGACACACAGACAACACACATACAACACAGACACAACACAGTCACATATACATAACACACAGACAACACAAACCACACATGACACTCATAAGCATATATAACACATACACACAATACACATCACACACAAACACACCACACGCAGACATACAAACACACAAACACACAACACAACACACACAGACACACATCACATACTTTTTTTGAGACGGAGCCTTGCTCTGTTACCAGGCTGGAGTGCAGTGGCGAAATCTTGGCTCTCTGCAACCTCTGCCTCCTGGTTTCAAGTAATTCTCCTGCCTCAGCCTCCCAAGTAGCTGAGATTACAGGCACACGCCACCACCCCCAGCTAATTTTTCCTAGACTAATTTTTAGTAGAGACAGGGTTTCACCGTGTTGGCCAGGATGGTCTCCATCTCTTGACCTCATGATCCACTTGCCTTAGCCTCCCAAAGTGCTAGGATTACAGGTGTGAGCCACTGCGCCCAGCCATTACATACATATTACATGCACACTACATACCCAGACACACATTACACACCCAACACACAGAGAGAACATACAACACATACAACACACATCTCACACACAGACAATGCGCATTATATACGCACTACACACAGACACACCACACACATAGCACACACAGCACACACAACACATGCACCATACACACCACACACAGCACACCACACAACACACACGGCACACCACATGACATACACACCACACACCACACACCTCACACCACATGACATACACACCACACACCACACACCTCACACCACATAGCTCTGTCCAGCTCGGCACAGGTATAGCCCGCAGGTGGTGCCTCCCACGGCAAGCGCAGCCGGCTGGCACAGTGAAGCCCATTGGCACTCCAGCCTGTGGCATATGCCAGGCTTCTGTTGCATCTCAGCTGGCAGGGCTGGGTGGGCGGCAGGGTGGGGGGCTTCCTCCTGGAAGCTGGTGGCAGCTCTGCTCTAATGAGCGACACTGTTTACTTCGCACCACCTCGCCCTAGAAAAGCAAACCCGGGCAGGCCTGAGCAGGCCTGGGGGACAGAGCCAGTGGGCCGTGAAGGAGAGGTGCCTGCCACGCCTCTGCCTCATGGGGCCCAATGCGGGACACCACAGAGCCCTCCGCAGTCAGCGTAGCCAGGCACAGGCCTGGACGTGGGCATGGCACCCAGTGTGGCGCCCAGCCTCCATGTCCCCAGCCCCGGCCTTGGGTGCCAAGCAGTGGGCCCCGGCAGCAGACAGACCAGGCTGGCCCTGCATCCTGGCTGGAGACTTCAGCACCCTCAGCCATGCCCCGAGGCCACCAGGCACCCAGGACAGGGGCACATTTCCAGCATCCCAAGAGAAGCCCTTCCAGAAGCACCCGCTCTCCAGGGGCTGACACAGGTGCAGGAAAATGACCCAAAGGGGCGAGGACACCTGGGCACCTTGGGAACCACACACCTGAAACCTCATGCCCCCCTGTGATATTCAACACACCACAGCACACACAGCACACATGAACAACACACATAGCGCACACAGATACATACACATGCAGTGCACACACACCACACACAGGCACATACACAGACACACACACCACACACACACAAAATACAAAATGCACACAGGCACACACACACAGACCACACATCACATACATACCACATGCACACATCACACAATGCACATTCCCAGACAACACACACCACACATTCACACACACACACACACACACACACACACACACACCTGCCTGGGCTGCTAGGGTGACTGAGTCTGGGCACCTGGCCTTCCAGCCTTGGCCGCCCCATGACACTGCAGAAGGCTGCAGATACCAGCCACTCCCCTGGGACAGGGCCGGGTACAAGGGACTGGGCCACACAGAGGTGGCAGATGCAAGGGTGGGAACAAGGTGGCACAACAGCCCGTGATTTGGGAAGACCCTGGAGAGGGCTCTGTGGGGGAAGCCATCTGGAAACAGTGAAAGGGTGAGATGAGACAGAGAGAAATCATGGATGGGGGCCTGCCCTCCCAGAAGTGACAGGTAGGACCCGGGGTCACAGCTGCCGGCTCCCCTCCAACCTCCTGGCCCCAACCCTGGCAGTGCCCTCAGTCAGCCTCCAGGTGTGGTGATGCGGCCCTTGATTAAAGGCCCTGGCCCACAGCACGCAGGGGTGGCTCAGCTTCTGGGAGACACGGTCCGCCTCGCCGAGGAGAGGCCACAGCCACAGCAGCAAAGCGTGAGGGCAGCAGCCCCCCAGCAGGCCACCCAACACCCTACTCGGAGTGGCTGTGGATAGCAATGTCTCCCAAGCCAGCGCTGCCCTGGGCAACTAGCCCTGTGCCCAGCATGTTCCCCAGGTGACCGTGCAGCTGTGGAGCCTGCGACCCCGCAGCCACTGGCATGGAATGCCATCAAGAGAGGAGCCACAGACTCCTGCCCGAGGGTGCAGAACGGGCAGCTGGGCTCCTTTTGTGGGGTACAGTGGTGAGCCTCCTTCGGCCGGCCGCCTCCACCTCTAACACGCTGCCCAGCAGGACTGAATACACTGCCCAGCAGGGCCAAATGCAGGGTTGGGCATCAGCGCCATCCAGCTGGGCAGTATTCATCCCCATTTCACAGATGGGGAAACAGATCATCCATTACAGGCTGACTTCATGCCAAGGCCCCACATGGGGACCTGAGCCCAGAGGCTGGGCAGCCCATTGGTCAGGAGGGGGAAATTCTTCTTCCGGGGTGGTCTGCCTTTGCCTGTGAGGAGACCCCAAGCCCTCAGAGGGAGCCCCTAGGTGGGAAGACCCCCTTCCCTGCCCAGGGGAGCCGGACAGAGGATCGTGGGCTGGTCTCTCCTGGCTAAGCCCCTGGAAAAGGAAAGTCTAAGCCCCCTCCCCACCTGCCTGTGCCCTTTCAGCCCCACCCAGCAATCCCTCTGGCTCTTCTGTCCCAAGCCCCTCTGCTGGTGCTTGGGAAAGCCCTCTACTCACCTGCTGGAAGGCCCAGGCTCCGTGTCCTTCATGGGAGGCAGCCAGGACTCAAAGGCCACTGCCTGCAGAACGTAAGAACCCTGGGAGCAGCCCCCAGGGAGGGGAGGGACATTGTTGCCAGAGAAACCCCGAGGCGTCTGTGTGGGCTCCTCCCTGGTGACTTCAGAGCACTGCGCAGCCCCAGCACTTGCCAGGGGCCTCACCTGTGCTCTGCCCCCTCCCCGGCCCTGACCCCCAGCCTCGCTGTGGGCAGGATGGGGTGGGGCACATATCTGGGCACTCTACCCTAGTACATCCTGAGGGGCCATGGGGGCAGAGCAGGGGAAGGGTTTCCAGGCACCACTGAGGACCCCACCCTGGCTGGCAGGGGCCAGGCAGGCACCTGGAGCACCCTACCCACGTCCCCGCTATACTCCCCAAGAACAGCAGGGGATGGTGGGGCTGCCAGAGCCCCCATCGAGCCCTCCCAGCCTGCTGCACCCCTCCTTTCTATATCCTCCCCAGGGACCCCCCACCCAGCCAGCAGGGCCCTGCGCTGCAGGCTTCCAGCCTGGAGCTGCTTCTGAACCTTGAGGTTGAAGGGGGGGCCTGTGGGGCAGTTCAGGCTTGACGAGGGACTTATGGAGGCGCAGCTGAGTCTGGCACCAAACCCAACCCAAAGGCCACTTGGCTCTGGGGTAGAACCTATCTACTAACAAAAAAACTTAAAAATGAGCCAGGCTGGATTGTCAGTTGGGAAGGAGGAGCCACAGGAGGGCTGTGGGGCCACTGCCCTCTCCGGCTGTGCCCCACTGCCCCTACTCAGGGTGTTGGGTCTCTGGGTCCTGAGATCCCGAATTGCCCATAGGCCATTAGACTTCAGTTTTTCAACTAAGGGTGGGGCAGGATGTGCTGCCCCCACTCCCCGCCCCACTCCCAAAGCAGGTGCCTTGGGGCCCAGGGCTCCCCTTGCAGACAGGCAGCCTGTCTGACCCCTGAAAAAATCCAAGGTTTTCCCAGGGGACCTGCATGGCCATGGGGGTGCCAGCAGGTGGCACCCTCTCCCCGTCCTGGCGGGGTTTCCTGCAGGCCTGTGCTGCAAATGGAGAGGGTGGGGTCCCTACCACCCATCACCCGTCCCCAAGAATATGTGTCCCTCCAACACAGAAAAGCACCCTAGGAAAACAAAGCTGTTGCCAAGAAACTCCTTTTGGTGTTCAGACTGGAGTGGGGCCAAAGGCTGGGAGATAGCCTAGTCTCTCCAGCACTTGGGGTGTCCTGCCCCTCTGCAGGCAGCTGGGGGGCAGCAGTCCCTTGGCATCCAGAGATTGCTAGACGCTGCCCCAGGTAAGGCCCTGCTGGAGGTGGCCCCTATCGCTGGGCAGGGGGCTGGGGAGGGGCAGCCCCTGCAGGAGCTTCTTGGACCTTCTGCCTCCGCAACACAGCCGGGAGGTGTCCAGCGATCCCGAATGAGGCCCCTGCGGGTTTTTTCCCACCGAGAATGGGCTCGGGTTTGTGTCATTCTGGGTGGGCTGCTGGGGACAGGCTGAATTTGTCCGTCAATGTCAGAGAAGCAGGACATCCACCTGGCCAGGGTAAGCACAGAGCTGGACCTGCAGGAGGAGGCAAATCCTACGGAGCGTGTCCGGACCATTCCCTCCCTGAGTCCCTCCACACCGGGTTATGGCCCCCAAAGGGACAAGATGAGACACCGGAGCTGCCATGGGGCCACGCCAGCTCCTCCCTACACTCACCTGCTCTGTGACGAGAGGGAGCGGCCACTGGGGACTGCCCAGGGTGTTGGGTTCATGAGGGTTCACAGCGTTTCCAACAAGAGCCTGCATGGTCACAGAGCTCAAACCTCACCCAGCCCTCAGCAGGCCCTACTCCCACCCAGGCCCTGGGGTCAGTGTTCCAGGTGAAGGCTGAGGGTCCCCATGCACTCCAGCAGTCGTGCCAGCCCCAAAGCGGCCTCCTTCCATGTCTACATGGGGAGGCCCCGCAGCCGGTTCAGGATAGGGCTCTGGCAAGAGCTGTGTGTGGCCCGGTGTTGCTCAGAAGAGAGCCCCTGGCTGGGCGCGGTGGCTTACACCTGTATCCCTAGTACTTTTGGAGGTTCGGGGAAGGATCGTTTGATGCCATGAGTATGAAACCATCCTGGGCAATATGGCAAGACCCTATGTCTACAAAAAAATTTAAAAATTAGCCAGGTGTGGTGGCACATGCCTATGGTCCCAGATACTCAGGAGGCCGAGGTGGGAGGATCATTTGAGCCTGGGAGGTCAAGACTACAGAGAACCAAGATCGTGCCACTACACTCCAGCCTGGGCAACAGAGCGAGACCCCATCTCAATAAAAAGGAGAGCCCTCCCTGCTCCCTGCTCTCCTGCTGCTGAAGAGGCTGCAGTGAGTCCTTCCCCACAGTGTGTGTGTGTGCAGACTATGTGATGTGCTTCCCCCTGCCCGGGGGCAGGGCAGAAAGTAGATGAAGTATCACAAGTGTTTTTGCAAAACAGCCAAATAATGCTACAGGGCTTCGTATGAAAAATAGTTTCCTTCCCCCTTCCCAGAAGCAAGCACTCTATTTCTAGCTGACTCCTTTGGTGTTTACTCTGTGCTGGTAACAAGAAAACTCCTATTGATCTGTCAGGTTTAGGTGGTCCCCGTGCCACCACCTCGTGGCTTGTCTGACCATCTGTGTCCCTCCCCATCCTCCTAGCATCATGCTTTGATAGACTCCATAATCAGAACGTACATGAAAACACTATTTACAGCTGGCCTTGTAGGGTCCTACAAATGCTTTTCCTCTTGTTTTCCCCTTGGCTTGTGTAATTCTGGGGCCTTATGAATAACCTCAAATTTTCTTTCCATTGCCTAAATTTCCTGTGTACATGCAAACGTGTGAGGCAGGCATTATCACTTCAGTCTACTGGAAGAAATTCCTCCAGAATCTTCTCCCCTGCTACAAACTGGCTCATGCCAGAGGCAGGGTGACATCCCAGGATCTCCCCAGCTGGGTTGTTCTGGGGTTCACTGTGCATCTCCTCCAAGGGGTACCCCTCTTCTCTTGTGTGTCCTCTTCTCTTTGTAGGTGGTAACATGTCCTTCAAGTGGCCCCATAAGGAAGGATGCATGCCTGAAGATGTCTTTATTCCACCCCCCAAGGTGATCACTGGGTGGTTAGTTTGGCTAGGTATAGAAGTCCAGATTGGGAGACATTTTCCTGGAAAAGTGTAAAAGTCTTTCCACATTGTCTTTAGCTCCTGGAGTTCTCTTGAAAAGTCTACAGCATACCAGGCTGGAAATACTGTGAACCATGTAACCAGAAAGATCCACCTAAGGCTTGTCTTCCAGGGTAAACCACTGATGACTGATCAAGGCCATATGGCTGGCGCTGGTCAGAAGAATACCAGCACTTCCAACGAGGTCAATGGGGACTTCCCTGTAGGCCAGGGGCTGTTACAGACAGCAACAGAGATGAGGAGATCCTAAAATAACAGAGGCCGGAGGGTGACGCTTAACTGCCAAATGTCAGGAGGTTGCAAATATCCTAATTAATGGCAGGGTCAGAGGGGCATCAACCCAGAGAGTTATGGAGATGACTAGAACATGGTGTCCCTGGGGCAGGATAGACAGGCAGTTGTCAACTTGTACTAGCAGAGTAAATTAAGGACAGGGGACTAAAGGCGGTAGCCCCAATCAAAAGTCACAGTCTTTGCTGGGTTTGGACCTGAGCCAGTCTTCCTACCTGGAACTGCTGACTGAAGAGGTGGCTGGGAGAGACATGCAATACTCCAGCCAGCCCTTCTCCACAAAGATTTATGGGACCTGCGCTGGGATGGGGGGACTGCTGGATATTGAGGACAGTGGGGTGGGGGTGACATGGATACTCAGAGACCCAGATTGTCATTGTGGCCCCATGTCAGAGCAGCCATTGGTGGAGCTCTGCCCAACTGCAGTTCGCAGCAGTCCTTGCCCCGGGCTCTAAATGAGGAGCTGCAATTGACATGTGGTAGGGGGGCATTGGGGCGCCCACACTGGAACCTTGGTCTGCAGCATAAGAGCTCTGGTTATGATTCCCATGGGGAAGGCGAAGGGGAGCCCACAAAACTAGACCCCTTCCTGGCCCAGAGAAGAAAGTAAAACAGCCCCACCCCGGGGGAGGGAAATGAAAGGATGAGGCTCTAGGAGGAGCAAGGCTGCTGGTTGCCATCACCGCTCTATGTAGCTCACTGGTCCAGGCCAGTGCCTAGGGTGTGGCACGGTCTCTATGGTGATCAGAAATGGACTGCACTCCAGACCTGGCATGGCCAACCACACTGGCTCGCCGTCCTGCCCTGGGGCCATATGTACCTGCCCTGCCCCAGACCACTGGGGCCTTCCTCAGATGCCACATTGATACAGCCCCTCAGTGACTTGATGTTGCAGGGCTGGGTGAGAAAAGGCCTCCAGAGACACACGCACCCAACAGGGCAGTGGCCTCTGGCAGCGGCAGCAGCAGCAGCAGCGTACCCAGCACTCACCCACTGTGCCAAGGTGGCTGGAAAACTGGAGAGATTCTGAGACCTGCCTCATCTTAGAGGGGTGGTGGATGGGACGTTGCTCAGAGGTTGGGGAGATGCTGGTGTTTGAGGTGTTGCTGGTGTTTGGGGTGTTGCTGGTGGCCAGGGTGTTGTTCAGTGGTCAGAGTGTTACTCAGTGGTCAGGGTGTTGCTGGTAGTCATGGTGTTGCTCGGAAGTCAGGGTGTCGCTGGTGGCTGGGGTGTTGTTCGGTGGTCAGGGTGTTGCTTAGAGGTCGGAGTGTTGCTGGTGGTTGGGGTGTCACTCAGAGGCCAGGGTGTTGCTCCTCGGACCACTGGAGGAGGGTAGCTGGCCAGGCCTGGGTTATGGGTGGGCTCAGGAAACACCGAAATGGGTGCAACCACATGCTGATGCCTCGGGGGAGCCCCTGGAAGCAGCGGCACAGTCACCCTCAGGGGGCTCTGGTATCGCCTGGTCACCCTCACATGAGGGAAGGGAAGCAGCCTGGAAGGAGAACAGAAACACAGTCATGGGCAGTGGCAAATGGCCTCTCTGGCTGGTTAGGAGCCTACAGGAAAAGATGGAGCTCTCAGGGAAAGGAGGCCTGGGCAGAGGGATGTGGGATGGGAGTGAGCTCCCGG